GCCAGGGATGAGCACTTCCCTGTTCCTTCAGACTTGTGAACATTTGGCATTAACTCTTCTTCAGGGGTCTGCTAGAACTCATGGGCCCTCTGGGACCCGGCTCTTGGTTAGTTGTTTTAGAAATACTTACCCAGTTTCTTGTTTTAGGTTTGCTCATGTTTTCTGTTTTTTCTTGAAATCAATTTTTGGTAGTTTGTGACTTTCTAGGCATTTGTTTCCTCTAAGTGAACTAAATGATTGGCATGCGCTCGCTCATGGTGTGCTCTTGTCATTCCTTTTACTTTTAAATTAAATCTGTTTTTACACGAGATATTTCCAGCTCACAGAAAGGCACGGGAGACTAAAGGAGCCAGCCTCAGCGTACCAGTGCTAGCATATCGCCGGCTGCCCATAGAATGATTCGTCCCGAGGGACAGAGGCCGGCATCCCAGAAGGTGTTTGATACTAAATGAAGCCCACTTGGCACCTTCTGCAGTCTGATTCCTTTTCTTTACAGAGGCATCCTGGATCTTAGCATTTATATGCGTCCTTTCCGGCTCTTATATTTCGTAGAGAAAAGGGCACTCAGCGTTGTTGCTTGAAGTAGCCCTCGGACGAGGTGGGCCTGGCGGGGCCCGTTCCTTCCCTCGCATTTGAGGTCGCGATTCCTCAGCGTCGATGCACTCGAGCGAGCTCGTTTATGTGAATCTCCCTTTAAACATTCCCGGACTGAAAGGCCCATGCGTGGCTTTTGCTTCTGCCCTGTGGACGGTGCCAGGGTGTCCGCGGCTGAACGTGATGGCCTGTGTGCATGTGTCCCGAGGGAGGGGGTGAGCTCAGAGTCGCTGAGCATCTGTGTCTAGGGCACGACTAGCTGCCGGCACGCTGGCCTGTGACTCCGGGGCTGGCGGGTGTGCTGGGCGGCGACGGTCGCCGCGGCCTGGACGGCCAGCGTCATGGCCGGTCCCTGCATGTTGCCTCCGGGTGGTCTTTGCAACCAGACTAGGGTTATCGTAGTAAAAGCTGCATCGTGGATGCCCTTCACCCGTCGCGCCCGTGTCATCACTTCCTGAAACCGTGAGGGACCTGAGCATGGCCGCGAACCGGGCAGGCTGGCTGGGCCAGCGCGGGGACCCGCGTGCGCTGAGTCGTTGGCAGGAGCGGTCTGGGCTCCAGGGCGCAGAAGCTTAGTCTGAGATGTGCACTCCGCTTCCTTTGTCATTCGGGGCGAGTCATTTCCCCTCTGACCCAAGCTGCTCCAGCTGCAAGACGCGGGAGGTGGGGGTTGCCACCACTTCACGGTGTGGGGTTGTGCGCGGGCAGCACTTCGCACCGGCCTGGCGGTCAGGGGCTTCAGGGCTGTTGCTCCATCTGCACCAGGACGCCTGCTGTGCGCGCCCTGGGGTGTGTGTGTGTGTGTGTGTGTGTGTGTGTGTGTGAGTGTGTGTGTGTGGGTGTAGCATTTGGTGGAAGAGCCTTTTCTTGGTCTTCCTGCTGCGCTTCTGTCTCTAGCGATGACGTTCTGGGCACCTTTCCCGCTTGCTGCCGGACACGCTGTCAGTACAGGAAACAGGCTGCGTGTGTCGCGCAGCGGAACAAAACTGCTGGATCCGCTGTTGGGGGACGCCTGTGCCGCTTCCTCCGCTGTCGCGCTAGTGCCCCTTGGGCTCTGTCCAGCTGCAGGGGAGAAAACACAGCGAGGCCCCCCAGGGCCTAGGCTGACCCTGGTCATTCTGCACCGTCCACCGGAATCAAATCCTCTGCGCCCGCCGGACCCAGCCGCGCGAGGACGCTGCCAGCACCCGCGCCGTGGGCTCGAGGTCCTCGGGGCTCCTGTACCTGCGGCCCACAGTGGGGCACCCTGGCTCCGCCCCTCCCCGTGGGTGAGCAGCTCCCAGAAAGCCGACGCGCGCCCTGGTCGCGTCTAGCCGCAGTGTGGGTCTGGCGTTACTCGCCTGGCGTGACCTGAAAGGGAGGCTCTCAGGCTGGGGTTTCGCCCTGAAGGTGAGGCTGGGCCGCTGGGGATGTCCTTCGGCGTGTGGGGGACTCCACCCGCAGGTGCCGTGAGGGCTGCCCGGCGGGGTTGACACCGACACACCCTTGTCCTCTTCCGCCTTGGCTGGTGTGGGCTGTGCCCGCAGGGCCTGGTTCCAGGCCAGGGTGCCGCGGGGGCCTGCGGAGAGACCGAGGGCTGCGTCTGGCATCTGAAGCTCGCCCAGGGCCGTGCTCCTCGGAGAAAGCTGATCCCAGAGGAGTCGAGACTGGGGTCCTTGAAGGCCCGGCTGTCTCCGACCTTTCTAGATTGTGTCTCTTGGCATGTGCCGCCGGCAGCCGAGCTCCAGCCTCTGGCATGCGGGCCCAGCACAGGGAAAGGCCTCAGGCCGCCTCCCCCAACCTTTGCCCAAGTGGCTTCCTGGGTCCCTGCTTGCCCTGCAGAGCCCCTGGAGGCCCCTGTGCTCCTCGACCCCTCTGCTCACCCGGGCAGCGCCTCACCCTCTCTCCCTGGGAATCTTGGCTGCTCACCGCGATGCTACAGTGTCTTGGTCCTTGGGCCGCCGCTCTTACTCCCTGGGGTGGGCCAAGGGACCCCGGCCCCGGGCCGGGTGTGGCTGTCCCGGTCGGGTGCCCATCACGCGCGCCAGCACCACGTCCTCTTGTCAAGCGGGGAGTGGGGAGGGGGGGAGCAGGGTATGCGCTGGAAACTTACCGGAAGAACCCTGCGTTCTCAAGGCTTGTCCAGGGGCGATAGACCCCTCCCAGTGGCGTCCGTGACTGGGCTGCGCCCAGGGGTTATCTAGCGTGTTCTGGAGCTACGAGGGTGGCCCGTTAACTACACAGCTGGTGCGAGTCAGCTTCGCCGTGCGGTGTAGACAGTAGCCCGCTTTGGGGGTCTACGTGACTACTTTGGTGTAAACCCGGGCACGCCCGAGGACAGCCAGCACCTGTTTCTGTTGTGCGCCCCGCGGTCCTGTCTGGCCAAGGGAGGCCGCCCGAGGGGTGAGCCACGAAGCCCGGCCCCGAGCGCCGCTTCGCCGGCGGCCTCTGGCGGGTTGTGCTGAGGACGGCGGCTCCTTCCCGACGCCCCCCCCCCCCCCCCCCGCGGTGGGCGCGCTTCCCTCCCCGCGGGCCGTGGGCTCTTCTCAGCACAGTAAGAATCATAGTACATCAAAATGTTTTTATTTGGACACAAAAATTGCCGAGATATCAAACATTTCCCGATCAGCTACAATACTGCCACTATGTACAGAAGAGCCGCGGATAACTGTGCACACATATAAAAATACAGTATGCGCCACCTATGTACAGGACATGTGCAAAACGTATGGCATCCGAACATGATATGGAATTGATGTCAGGGTGCAAACAGCAAATACAAAGGCATCATGGTTTTTCGTTTAAAAAAACAACATAGAGGCAAAACACGAATGGACCCCGCTGCCAGAGCTTCCTGTTGAGTAAACCAGCGCGTTGCCGGGCAGGGCTCCGAGACTGGCGTCTCCTCCTCGCTCTCCAGAGAGATGCTGAGACAGAGTGAGACGGTGCAACTAAGAGGAACACCCATCACGCTGCATGTCTGTTGCAAGCAAGAGAAGTCGTTTGTACGTAGAGAGGAAAAACTACTAAATACATATTATTCTTAAACCAACACATCTATGCTATTTTACATAAAAACAAGAGAGAAATATCTACATCTTTGTGAAAATTATAACCTTAAATGGACAATACCTTTTTGGGATTTTTGAGATCTCATTCGTCTCAAATTTTAAATACAAAGTGCCGCCTTTTGGCAAATACTTGGCAATGCCTTTGGTTCCTTTAAAGCAAGTTTGCATTCTCTTGGTTACGTGAGGCTGAGTACTTTGGGTAGCTACTAAACCCTTCCTAGGCGTTTCTCCCTCCTATAAATCAGCAAGTTTCTTTACAGCACAATGCAGAGAGGTAATCGTTAGGAGTCTCGGTGCCCCTGTGAACTGGGCGAAAGCTTCGTCTGGGTCGTAGGCAGAAAGCTCTGCCACGCACAGCAGCGGCGTCGGGCTCGCCAGTGACTGGGGCACTGGATGCCAGAGGCCTGAGACCGCCCTGCTGTTGTCACAGTCGCGGCGTCTCTACCACGGTTCACAGGGCAGCGCGTCTGCGGAGGGTGAGGGCTCTCGTGTAAACGTGTGCAGCTTTTTTGAATCACAGGCCTCAAATCGAAGATTCAGGCGGAAACCCTTTCAGCGGTGCCTCTCCTCAGACACGCAAGGAAGGGGGAGGACAGACCTGCTCGGTGCTGGGCAGCCACTTCACAAACGTGGTGCAGAAAGATCACGGGACACGCAAGTCGTTGAAGGTCTGAACCAGGAAAAATGGCTAAATTGTGTTTTTTCCAGTTTTGACTGAAATCATGTCAAAGAGGTGCTGAAATGCAGTTAGGCTGCTCTCCAGAGACACATTTCTGCGCCTGCACGCTGTGCTCTGTGACCAACCTCACCTTCCAGTTAATGTGCTCGACCTCCAGGCGGCCTGCCTGGCGTCCTGTCAGCTGCAGTGCTGGGGGCACCTCTGCGGGCGGGGTCCCAGGGCCCGGGGCGCTCTGCTGGAGGGCGCGCAATAGCTGTTCTCGCTCAAGGTCTCTACAGAGGCCTGGGGGGCCGCGCTCCCCGCCTCTCTGACAGCCAGGCGCGCCGAGAGGGGGCACAGGCGAGGCAGGACGTGGTGGGGCTGCCCCGCAGCTGCGTGCTGGGCCTCAGCTGGGAGATCTGAGAGGATCTGCAGGAAGCTAAGTGGCCTGGAATGATCTAGGGTTGGGGGAGGAAGCCCGAGTCAGCTTGGGAGAGGCGGTGAGGGCCAGGAGCGCCTCTGCCGCTGTCCTCGGCTGCAGTGACAACCCAGGGCCGGTGGCGGAGCCGCAGGACTGTGCGGGTTTTTAAAGGAGATTGAGATCTCAAAAAGCAAACACAGACAGTGTCTGAGCAAGAGCTCCCATGAACTCAGAGCACAGCTATGCACGTACGCGGCAGGCGCTACACAGCGGCCCGCACGTCTCAGGGGGCGTCTAGACGGGGAGTCCTGAGGCTGCCCGAGGTGTCCCCGCACTGCTGTCTGTGCCCACGGCGGCCCGGACCCCCGGAGACCTCGGGTGTGACTTCTGTTCATTCTGCCCCGACGTGACCTGCTCTGCCTGGACAGGGGAGCTCCATCCTCTAGTGTCTCCGGAACGCTCGGCAGCTGAGACCGCGTTCCGGGCGTTAGTGGTTTTCTTGGCCATGTGACGTGTGCGCGGCGGCTCAGGGCAGCCCCTCTGGGAGCCGCGCACACCACGGTCCCCCAGCTGCTCGCCCTGCACTTTCGTGGCTGTGAAACTCGCCTCCATCAGAAGCCTCTTAGCACACACGCCTTTCCCACGCGCTCCATTCTGCGCGCTGACAGGGCAGAGGGGCCTGGGGATAGCGCCCCCCTCGCCTGGGTCGCTGCCGCCCGGGCCCAGGGACAGGTGCGGGCGGGAGCTCTCCTTGTCAGCGGACGTGCTGGTCCCTACAGGTGTGGACACGCGTGCGCGGCGGGGTGTGTTCTGGAGGGCAGCTGTCCTGCAGTAGGTTTCAAACCTGGTTTTAAAAAAGCAACAAGGGGCCTGAGTGCGGAAAAGGGGTCTGTGGACACAGCTCAGGATGGTGGGGACAGAACGTTGCTCGGCAAGTTTCCGGCACCCGCTGTGCAGGTGGCTGCTTCGGTCCCTCAGATGCCGGGGCTGGACACGCCATCGACTGGGCACGAGTCTGAGTGCGGCCAGAGAACACGCCACGGGCCAGACCTCCCACGAGAAAAGCACCTTCCCAGTCACCAGTGACGCCCGTGGAGACGGGGCCCGCGGGATGGAGCCCGCCTGAGGCGCTGGCACGCTGGGGTGCGGCCCCTCTTGTTGGGCTGGGGCAGGTGGTGACTGGACCCCTGCCCTGGGCTCGGGATTTCTACCCCGCGGAGCACGAGCGCCCACCTCAGGCCAGGCAGCGCCAGGCAGCCCGGGCTCCAGGTTTGGGTGACTGAATGCTGGAAAAACGGACTTTTCAGACATGCAGTAAAATCTACAAGCCGATATAAAAATCTGCATTAAGATCAGCTCTTCGGCAAAACAGACACCAGCCCCAGGTTCCCCAGGTTGTCTTCTGCACGTCCCCGTGGGAATGGCCTGGGGAGCGGCCTGCCCTGGGTGCGGGCGCGGCGTAGAGCATGACGTGGAACATGATGTGCAGTTTAGCGAAAACCTCCACGCTCCTGTTGTAGCTGTTCAGGCTATTTACATGTTGTCATAAACTAAATACGAGCTTGAAATAACTTTGGAGATCCTGCGACAGTTGGCATTTTAGAAAATTCTTAAATGGATAACTTTTTCTATGTAAAAAACTAATAAAACCTCCAGTTTTTCAATCTTAGGCGCGCGGGTGCGACATCCAGTTACAAGCCTGTGACGGAGACGGGGACGGTCAGAGCGGGGACCCGCGGCCGACCTGGAGCCACCCGGGAAGGTCCCGGCTTGAGGTCCCCCCCTCCTCACTCGCCAGCTCAGGAAGACGTTTGTGCTAAAGCCTTTTCGGGGTTCTTTGAGATGGGTCTGGTTACCTGAAAGTCAGCGTGGAGATACCCGCGGCTCAAGGACTCCGGGAGGAGCAGGGACCCCAAGGCGGCGGACGCCCCGCCCCGCCGAGGCCGTGCGGTCACGGGCCGCGCCCTCACAGGCTCACCAATGTCCCTGGACTGGTCGCCACAGTATGTTTGTCTGGTGATGGTCAAATGTCTTTCACTGAAATTTAAATTGCGAAATCTTAGATTCCAAAAAATCACAAAATAAACGAGGACACTACACATGACATGGGTTTCTAAAGGGAACCAGAACCGCTGGGCTGTGGTGGCTCTGGCCAGTGCCCGCACAGCCTCCGATCCCGGGCAGCACCCCGATGATCCGTCATCCCCGCATTCTTTTTTTGAGCGGCGCCGTCTGCCGTTCCTCTGGGGTCTTGAAGTGGCCGCAGAGGCGTAAAGGTAGTTGCTCACCAGGGAACGCTCACGTCATCCCCCTGCACGATTACTCTTCTTTCTCTAAAGGGACATGAGTCTTCTTGGGCAAGTGATGTTTCCAGAAGGCCCTGGCGCTATGAAATTGTAGAATCCTCTGCAGGTTGCAATGATGTGTTTTCAAACTTGGTTTCCAGGCTGACGGGCTGTGCGTTCTGACAGCCTGCGGTGATTGCAACAATGCAGCTATGGGTCTGTCTCTAAAAACAGGCTTTTCAGACTCCTCTTCCCCTGAGGCCTCATGAAACCTGTGACACTAGTCCCACGGCAGCGGCAGGTCTTGGGGGTCCAGAAACTCCGCAGAGAACACGCTGGACGCGGGGGTGCTGAGAGGCGTGAGTCCTGACGAGGAGCTGGGCATGGTGATGTCAAACCACTCCATGGTGTCCAGGTTTGAGTCAGGGAGGTCGAGAGAGAGACAGGACGTGCTCGCGGCAAACTGGGCCTCGGACGTCTCCATGGGTGAATGCGAGGAGTCCAGCACGCCGGGGTGACTCAGCAGGTCACTGTGGAGATCCTCCATCAGGGAGAAGGCCACGCGATCCTCACCGCCACTCGGGAGCGGGGCGATTTCGTTGGCCGGAGGTAAAGTTCCGTCCAAAAAAGCTTCCAGCTGGTTCTCTAGGCTGGCCGACAGGCTGCTCATAGGCTCTAGGGAAATGGGCGGGGCCATCTGGACCTGGGGGGGCGGCCGGGACACCGCTGTGCTGACGGGCATCGTGGTGATGCTGGCTGTCACTGGTCTCATTTTGGAAATGGGCGAGGGCTCTTCTTTTATAGGGAGGGAAATCTCTGCAAGATAATTCAAGTGATTAGTAGGTCACGATACAGCACGTAGGGCAATCACTTTGCTACTCTGTACCGATGTCTAGGAGGCTGGTCTAGAGGGAGGAAGAAAAAAAGGCTGTTGGTCGGTACGACCCCGGGTGGCCTTTAGGATGATGGACTCACTCTAACCATGTCGGTCTCTGACATTCTGATGTTTTCAATGCCTCGGAGTAGGAGCAGGCATGGAAAGCAGTGTCACTCCTCTAGCTCGGGGTGGTTTTGGATTACCTGGGCTTGGGGGCCTTCTCCTCAGTCATAACAGGCTCAAGACAGGGCCCGTTTCATCCTCCGCGCGGACCTGCCCTCCCAGCCGCGCGCCAGCTCTAGCGAGCGCGGAGCTGCGGGCCCAGGTGTTACAGTCCTGGAAAGGCACCGCGCCCTCTCCCGTCACCCCCGAATCCGCGCTAACAGCGTCCTCTCCTCTTCAGCAGGAGGTGATTCGCTTTTTCTTTCCTGTAAGTTTACATAGAGCCTGAGATTGGGTGACCGCCTGAACAAGCACCAGATCAAGTAGCAAAGTAATGGACTTATTAGCTGCATATCGTGAGTAAGGAATCTTTTTTACTCTCTCGTTCCTGAGAGTGAAATCATCATAAAATCCATTCTTCCTGTTGTATCTGCACAGACCAGCGCGTACAACTTGAGCCACTGGGATATGTTAACAGGTGAAGAACGAACCGAGGGTTTGCTTCCCATGGGCGACTCATCAGCTATGTGGAATCTGCCTCGCGGGGGGCAGTTTTCACTTCCCCTCACCTGTCGTCCTCTCTAGAACTGCTGCGGAAACTGAAAGTGCAGCCGAAGTAACTAGTCTTACAACCAACCACTCAAGCCCCTGTTCTCGTTACTGACTGGATGCTGTGACATACGGAAGTCACTGCTTTCACAGAATGTTTGATGACTTTGTCACATTTTAATTGCCAAGTTTAGGTTTGTCTTTATTTTCACCCTATTTGGGGAAAGGCACTTTATTTATCTTAAATTCAGAGCACAGGATGTCTTATTTTTAAAATTTCCATAGTTAAGTTATGAGTTTAGAGTCTATGTTCTGCCAAAACTCTGACAAGATCATTAACCTGTGCATGGAGAAATTTTGGTCACTATTAAAAAAATCTAAATGTCCTTTCATCAGGGACATTTTACAAAACTGTAAAATATTCCAAAATACCATTTAAATTGTTAAATGACTTTAGACTTATTTTTAAAGGTGTGTTAACCGATGTAAAGACAGTCTTGATTTTTCGGTGTGTGGTTAATATCCTCTATCCCTTTTTAAGACGATCTATTGTAGAATTTAAAATTAAATCTCAGACTTTGATAGGAAATAACAGGTCCCAGAGCCTTTGTTCCCCTTAACATTTTTTTCCCATTTATTGCTCAGATCGGATTCTATTGATTTCATTTTATATAGAAAGTGTTTCCGAATTGCCTTTGAATGTTAATAAAGTGACTAGAGCCCCAGTGAGCTAACTTGGTTGTTAGAAAACTCGCGCAGGAACAGGAATGTTTTTAGCCCATCACGGTGACTGAGAGACGTGGAATTAGCTTTGAAGCTTTTCAGTGTGGAATTTAAGCCTGGCTCCACGTGGCTGTTCTGAGACGTTCTGACTTACGCTGAAGCAGTGACTTCTGCTTACACTGCATTGTTTTACTGGCCTAAATGTAACAGATTTTAAAATAGTGAGTTTAGTTAGAAGAGTGTGGTTCGTGGAACCCAGAGAGGGCTGTGAGCGCTCGGGGAAAGCGTCTGTGACACGCGGGCGCTCTCCCTCCCCGGTGTGGCGAGACCCGTGACCTACCTCCACTCTTAATGAGGATGTCGAAGAGGTCGTCCATCTGCTGACTGTGAGCATTGGAAATCTGCGGCAGAGGAGAACACAGTAAGTTTTCTTTCCTAGACAAGCCTGGGAGCACGCGGGGCTGCAGACTCCGAGCGCCAATCTGTCGTGAACACACCGAGGCCGCCTGGGAAGTGAGGCCATTTGCCCGAAGTATCACAGCTGGTTAGTTGAGCGGTGACAGAATGGGGCTGAGGTTCCTAATGAGGACACTTAGCTACATCTCTACATCTTCCTGTGTTTTAAAAGGCGTCTTACACTTGTTTTAAAAAATGACTTTGTTCCGGGGCCTCCCTGGTGGCGCAAGGGGTGAGCGCAGCGCTGTGAAGCTGTCCGCAGCCACTGCAGCGCAGGTTTGATCCCCAGCCAGGGAGCTACCCACATGGCGCAGCAGACCTCTCCTGACTCGCCTGTTGCTCCCCTCAGCAATGGATTTCAGTAGATCTGCCTGTTCTGCTCCCCACTCTGTCTCTGGTGACTGCTCTCACCCCCCGGACCTCTGGCCTGTACCCCAGTTCTTGTATGCATAAATAAATCTTTAAAAAAAAAAAAAGACTTTGTTCCAGTAAAAATTACGGTCCATCTAAAGGAACAGGAGTGCACTCTTCAGCTTTACTGAGTCGGTCCATCCAATAAGCTGCATTTACATAATATATACATGAAGAACCTCAGAGCTCCTGGAGTTTGGTGCACAGAGGTGTTTATAAAAGAGGGACGACAGGTAGCACCTCATTTGAATACCAGGAAACCATATTGAACTTGGCTCCCTCAGTCTGTAAACATGAACCAGAGACCAATCAATGGCAGGGAGGCCAATCAGCCTTTTCAGTTTAAAGTGAGCTCATGATCCTTTGTTGTGCTGCCTTTCTGTTTTCTAAGACATTGCTGCAGTTACGCTCTTGGCAATTACTTCCTCTCTGCTCCCCTGTGAAGAGAACGGATGCTTCTTCTGAAAGGCCTCTGGGAGGACATTCTAGTCAGCATCATTTATTTCAATTCTTTTTGCAAATGTTTAAATCTATTTCTGAAATTTGGTTTTTTCCTTACAGATAAAGGTCCCGGCTGAGTCTGGAACTCAAGAACCTTCACTACGACTATGGTCACTTCTCTTGGCACCAAAGACTAGAGGACGCATATGCTAACTCCACACTCCCCAAGAGACACCCCACTGCCCTTCGTGAGACAGGCCCCGCACTGTCCCTTGGCACCAGGTGGTTTCTGCAGCTCCTCCCTGGCTCCACATAACCCTGCCTGTGTCACTCCAGGGAACATGGGCTCCTGCTCTGAGCATTGAACAATCTGGCTCTTGGCTTATCAGCACCCAGAGTGGGGTGGGTTCTCTCCTTGCACCTTCTGGGAGGCTGGGGTTCTTCCTGGAAAATGGTGAGTTTTAGGCTTAGTGGGGGGGGGGGGGGCCAGGAGAGGGTGTGACAAGGCTCCTGTGGCCAGGCACCCACCGGGAAGGAACGCTAGCCTTCCCACTCCTTGGAATAGGTGTGGCCACTCCTGCTGTCCCGTGCCACGAGGGAGGCTCAGCGGGGTGAGTGCCCAGAGCCACAGGCTCCTGGGTGGGTGTAGCTCATGATGAGGTGGGGAGACCTCCTAGAGCAGGAGGCACTGGACAGGCTGAAGGCCAGCCAGGAGGAAGAGGGCCAGCGTGATGCTGACCTGAGAAATCATGGCTTTAGAAAAGGGACTTGTATAAAGTACACGCCCTGGTCACTGTCGCGTCCAGCCCTAGTGTAACCCATACTCTGGTCCCAAAGGGAACGTTAGAAGAGAAACTATACATGTCTGAGTAATAGTCACTGCGGATTATACAGCTACTGAAACCTGCTTGGCAATCTTCACAGTGGACATTTTAAAATCATTCCCAGAGCAAACAAGCCTCCAGGCCATGAAATTTGCATTTCTCTGAAGGCAAGTTCATTGTAGAGAAGGATTCACGTTGAGGATGACACACCAAATGTAAGCCACAGGCCTCACTCACCTCTGGAAGGGCGGGCTGGGCACTGCATGTCTGCTTGATGGCCTCCTCGTACCGGGGAGGGTCTTTTGTCTTGGTGACTGGGCTCCCAAACAGGGAATGCTGGACGACGAACTGTTGGGGCGGAGGGGGTGAGCTAGGCTGTGGGAGACAGGATGGCACGTGTCAGTGCTGGACTCTCATGGCACCAAGTCAGGGGCCTCCCGGGCCCGGTGCGGGAGAAAGGTCACCGCCACTTGGTGACAGCCCAGCTGCCCCTTAATCATCATCGTATTTTCAGCCCATTCACATCGCGTCATTCCAGGTCTGCAGCATAGACTCGGGCTGACCTTACACCCCAGCGAGCATGGTTAGGAGCCAGTAATCGTCACAGGGTTACCTTGGTGGGCGTGTTAGGGCCGTTTTGCAGGGCTGGAAGTGGGGCGCTCCTGGGCTGAAGCACGCTGGCAGACGTCTTGTTGATAAAGGGCTGCTGGACCCCGGGCGCAGGTGACCTCTGGTACGGGAGGGCTGTGTTTGATGCTGAGTTTGTGAAAACCTAAAATGGTAAATATTTTCCATCAATTTCTCTTTTGTTTTTCCTAATAAAGAAAACCATGTTTAGAGTGGGGGTCAGAAAGCTCTGTGACGGGTCATGGAGCATACAGTGTGGGGTTCGCAGGCCACACCCTGAAGCCCAGAGGCAGCGGGGCCAACACGTGGCCCATGGGGGTGGCCGGTCCCCATCTCCCTACCCGGGGCCTGTGTGACGGCAGCAAAGCGTGGCTCAGTCCACTTTCCCGCTGAAAGGACAGCTGCCTTCCCCACCTTCCTCGCAGGGGCAGTCACCTGCTCTCCCCGCTCCAGTGTTCACGCGCTAACGATCCCGTGCCACCTGGCTCCCGACCGCCAAAGCCACGTGTGTAAACATAAATGTGGGACATCTCCTATTTGATATATTCCAAAGTAAACGCTCCCCTCCCCTCTCCCCCCAACATTTGTATTATAAAGTATTTTTCTAAAAAGTGGAAGTATGCGTGTTTATGATGCAGGCCGCTCTGTAGATACTGCCTTTTCCCCGCAACAGCACGAGCTCCCGCCATCTGTGTCCGCCGGAGAGTGAAGACCTGATTCTTACACGCACTGGGAATCCAAGAAACCCGTGGCGCTCTCCCCTGCTCACTGTGGGGGGTGGCACCAAGCCCCGGGCTCTCCAAGGTGCGCCTGCTCATCCTGCCGACGGGGTCTTGACGGGGACTCCTCTTGAACAAGCTGAATTTCATTATAATTGGGGGAAAAATTGCTTCCTTTGAATTGGAAGTAGTGAGTCCTAAGTCAAGAATTTTGACATTTAGTGAATGAACCCTCATTTCCGGCCTCTGTTGTTTTTCTCTGACTGAACATTTGCTACACTGAAGTGTCACCTTGAGCCCAGACTAAGTGCTCTGCTCCCTGTGCTTCCCAGGGATGCCCAGAGACACTTGTACGCAGGACAGCTGTTGACCTAAGCGGCAGTTTGTCTGTCCAGGGCACCTTGATCCAGCTGCACACACCTAATTACCTTTCATATTGAAAATCAAAATTCTAGACCTAAAAATCTCAAGGTTTAAGAGAGTGTAAGATACATTTTTGCGGGCTTCAGATTTTTCTAGTGCAGGCGTGCATATAGCTCCATCTACTGGTTAACAGGGATTTTTGGTTACTTTTGGGGCCACTTAATATCAGAATTTTTGGTAGAGGCTGATACAGCGGATACTGAGCCCTAGATCAAAGCAGTCATTTTAAGGATGAAGAAACTGTCAGAAGTAGAATGTGAACTGTACCTAAGACGTAGGAAGTGCTGAACCAGAATGACAAGCCGACCTAGGCCTCTGGCTCATTTCAGAGAGTATCTTTCTAAATCTTGAGATAACTTTTCCCAGGGAACACCAGTTACCCGCCCCCCCCCCCGCCCCCAAATGATTAACTTGGAAAGAAACTTTAGATTCTATAAGGGTTAAAAAAACACTTTGGAGGCTTCCTCGGGAATGGAGTGTGACTGTGAGGGCCCCTATCTTTCAGTAACAGGGGACTTTCTTTCCCAAGTACTGGATAAGCAGCGCTAGCAGAATCTGACCTGGGCTCCCGGATGGCACCGGTCACAGACGCAAGCAAACAGGAGCTTCAGGCTTCTACAAAGACACTTGGTAATGACTGAGCAGGTAACATAAAAACTGAAATGTTCACCAACCTTTCGGACTTGCTGGGGCTGACTGAGCACACGCGGTGTGAACGCGTCCTGCTTCTGAGGTGCAGGCGGGGCCAGGGCTGAGGACAGGGCAGCAGCTGCTATCTGGGGCTGAGTCTGGATTCCTGCTTGTGGGGCCTAGGAGACAAATTAAAAAATTGAACTGTCAGAAACAAAAGTTAGAACCAAGAGTTTAAATGTGAAATAACTGGTCACTTGGGGGACTGTATTTAAAGTAGGTCAAAATGTTTACAGATACACACGTCACATGAATTGAACCTTAGCAATTCTAAACCTGAGAATTTAAGACCATACCAGTCATTTTCATGTTGTTGTTTAAGTGGCAAAGATTTTTTTTTTCAAAGATTTATTTATTTATACCAGCACTGGGTACAGTCAGAGCGCGGGAGGGTGAGAGAATTCCCCAGAGCCAGAGCGGGAGCATAACAGGCCGAAGGACCGAAGTACACTGCTGAGGGGAGCAGCGGGCGGCAGGAGAGGTCTGCGCGCCATGTGGGTCCCTCGCCCGGCAGCCGGGGATCGAACCGGCGCTGCAGAGGCTGTGGGCAGCTTCGCAACCCAGTGCTCAACTGCTGTGCCACCGGGGAGGCCCAAGTGGCAAAGATTTTTCATTTGAAAATTTTGGGAAAAGAGAAAACTACAATAATGAGAACCTACTGCAGCTCTATACACACCAGGCCAGGTGTTGTAATAATGGCAACAAGGAATTGCTGTCAGCCAGCTGTGTGCCAGGCGACACAGGCCCAAATGACACAGTTCTTGATTGTAGAACATCCACGCCGGTAGAAGACTGGATGGGGAAAAAGTTACAACACAGACTTCCAGTTCCCAGACACTCAATACTGAAAAGAGAAACTAGGGCTTCTGCGCATGCCCAGGGCTTTGGGGTCATGCCTCCTAACCCCAGGGGCACGAGTAAGTCTGTCCACAGGGTAGATACTGGGCAGTGCAGGGGGAGGAGCAGTGGTTCAAGAGACCCGCGGCTCACAGCTTGTTAAAACCTACCAGGTCCCGGCTACGGGAAGGGCAGCACACAGGCCACACAGGCAGGAAAGGGCAGGGCAGGTTCACTGGACTTTCAACATCTCAACATCCCCACTCCTAAGCTTGGGGTCACAATTTCCTTAGTCTCCTTGGCATTAAAGAACTACACTTGGGAGGCAGATTATAGGCTGGCCAAGGAAGAAAAGCTCTGGAGTCAGAAGGCCTACATTTGGGTGGTATCTCTATCCTGGGGAGTTTAAACTTTTTAGGACCTCAGTTTCCCTATCTAGAAGTGGGCTGGTCACTTGGGGGACCACTGGCTATTCTGGGGGAAGGAAACCATTTCAAGTATTATATAAAAACAGTGCCAGCCAGTCATATTCTTGAATGGCCCCCCTCGCCCCCAGACACGTTTCTGCGACTGTTAAGCCTGATTTAAATGCCTGAAAAAGCTCAGGCCCTCTGGGCAGGCCATAAAGCAGAGTTAGAAGACACACTTCACACCTGGAGTTTGAGGCTGCCTACTGGGAGCTGCACGGAGGTGACGCTGGAGCCCTGGATGGACACTGGCAGCAGCAGCTGAGCAGTCTGTGTGGTCAGTAACGCCTGGGGCTGAGCGACGAGGGCCGGTGGCGGCTGCCCCTGGGGACTCACGTAGAACTGGGGTATGATGCTCTGCGGTTCCGCCTGGGCCACCGGGACCTCTTGCTTGATAACGACAGCCTTTTTGGCAACGAGGGTCTGGCCGCCCACAGGGAGGGGCTGGCCTGCAGGATGGCCGGCTCCCGGGCTGGGCTGCCTGGAGCTGGAGCAGTCTGTGAGCGCCGTCTCGTCTTTGATGGAAGAGCCGCCATGTTTCTGGTCTAACTGACTGATGGGATTTGCTGGTGCGCCAGGCTGGGCTTCCAGCGGCCGCTGTTGCTGCTGCTGTCCTCGTTTTTCAACCTCAAGTTGCATTTTCAGAACTTCCACAAGTTTCTGCTCTTGTTCCAGTTTCCTCTTTAGCTCTTCAATCTGCTTCTCTTTCTCCTGAAGCTTGCGATCCTTCTCAGCAGCGTCCAGTTCCAGGTTGGACAGAGTGCTGCTGGTGGGACTCAGGCTGTCTTCGTTATTTGTTACCCTCAAAGGAGATGAGCACAGGAACTGTGAAGGGGACATCATGGTCATAATCTCGGTGAAAGTGTCTGCCATGTTCGTGTCCTCAGTACTGAGGCTGGACTGTTCGGAGGGAGACGGGGAGATTGGCAGGGGGGAGTTAACAGTTTCCACCTGGGGTGCGTTGCTGGTTCCGGCAGCTGGCAATTCTGTCTTAAAAGTGGAGCTTGAGCTAGTCACAGAGTTGTGTAGTGTTGTAACGGGCAGCGCCATGGTGACCTCTGGGTTGCTGGTGACAACAGCAGATGTTGATACCGCCACGCTGCCGCCAGCTGCTACGCTGCTGCTCACTTCCTGGTAGGGCTTCAGGCGTTCGATGAGGTCTGGTTTAGTGCCCGACACTGGGAGCCCCCTTAACTTCAGCTCTGTCTTCAGTTCTGATACCTGGAAGTACAAACACAGGAGACATCTGCTTTTGCTATTATTACCTCCCGACAACTCTACACGAGCTCTGGTGGCGGAAACAATGCCTGCATCTGTCGGTGGATTCCATATCACTGCACATTTGAGAGAGGGACAGTTTCTTCTCTAACATATAAACACACAGCTACCGACCTGGAGAACTTCAGAGGACTGAGATAAAGTCATAGTTTTTAGAGGGTAGTTTCTGTTATGTCAAAGAGAACATTAACTACCAGCAGTGGTAACAGCTACACTTACTGAATAGTTACCATGCCAGACATGGTTGGAAGTGTTTATTCTTTCAATCAATATTCACATGAGATCGGTGCTATTTTCCCATTTTACAGGTGAGGTCACAGCAGAGCACTCACTAGTGCAAGCTAGGGTAGAAACCAAGAAGTCTGGCCCTGGAGATTGTGTTCTTAAGTGTTAAACATTTTTCTGCTTTGCCCAAATTTGGCGTTAAGCAGCGAAGAAAAAAATCAGACTTTGCAGTTAAGTAGAACTGGTAGGGTGCTTGTGTATGGTATACACTCAATGAATGAGAGTTATTATTGGTCATTTTAATAGAAACTTAATGGAAGTAAAAAGGAAGCAACTCTGTAAAGGTTACATTGTTGGTGCAGCTGAAGGTCTCCTGATCTGCTAGCCAGATCAGGCATTTTTGTGGTACTTCTGGGCAAGTTCTATTGGGAATCATCACCTTTAAGTCATCCAGGCTAGAAGGCAGAGGTCCTGGCTTTCTCACGGGAGCAGATGTATTCTGTCTTGGTGTATTGGGCGTGGTATTGCTCAAAGCTGAATTCCCACTGTTATTTTTGTCATTTAGTGGCCTTAAAAAGAAAATCAAAGTTTATTAAAATAATTTCTAGATTTGCTGTTTCTTCTGCTAACAATTAATTGGTTAACTTATGGTGAACCATGGTCATGGAGTGGCAAACCCAGTATTATAAAATTGTCAAATTAGATCCCAATAAATATTTCTGCAGGATATGTTTACTTGTTTGGGAGAAATTTAGAAAGTGGTCCTCAGCTTCATATGAAAATACAAAGGACCAAGAATGGCCATTGGATCCTTTAAGAAGAAAAGTAAGCTGGAAGAATCACACCACTGGATATCAAAATTTATTACAGTCCGTTATTTAGATGGTATGGTGCTAGTGTAAGGACAGAGCAGACAAATGGGAAAGACTCGAGAATCCAGAAATAGCACCCCCTGGTGGTGCGTTGGCCCTTGAGTTATCAAAAGATGACACTGAGGCGCCATGGAGAAATTGTAGGCCTTCTCACAAGTGGGACTGGGGAAACTGGAGAGTAATACATAAAAAAATGGGGATCTTGACCCCTACACCTCATAGCATCCCCAAAATGTAAATGTGAATTCCAAAAATAGAGCAAAAACTTTTGATAATATCTTCATGGCTTTTGGATAGGAAAAGATTTCTTCAACAGGATGCGAAAAGCACTAACTAAAAGGGATACCTTGAAGGGGGTGAAAAGCCAATAGGAGGAAATACTTGTAACATTTCTGACAGAGGCCTGATATCTGGAATAGACAAAGAAGCCTTGCAAGTCAGCAGGAAGTAAGACAGAAAACCCAATAAGACAGACAACCCAATAGAGCAAGCATACCCCAAGATGGTGCAGCGGAACGGTCTATATATATATGTGAACAAGTGCTTAACCCGTGAGGAATGAGGAAAATGAAAACGAAAAGCACATCGGAATAGCATTGCTCCCTGCACCCACAAAGACGCATCTCACCACAAATACGTCGAGTGAAAGAAGCTGGACACGTACGTGTACTGTAGGATTGCACTGACAGACTGTTCAAAAACAGGCAAAACTAACCTGTGGGACAAAAGTCAGGACAGGCACTGAAAAGGGATACTAGGGACCTTTTGGGGACCCTGGTAAAGTTCCATTTCTTAATGTAGGTGGTAATTATGGGGGCTAACTTTGGCATCAGTTTTCACTTTTGGGTTATGGACTTCTTTGTATGTAAATTATACTTAAAATACAGTTTTTTTTAAATAGTGCTGAATCAATTGTTAAGTTCTAAAGTTAGGTTCTTTTGCAGTAATTTCCCTAAACCCCTTCCCATGTCAAAGCCAGGTCCACTTCTGACTTCTACTGTGACACTCGGCAAGTCCTTTCTGGGTGACTGACACCTGCCGGAGAAAGGGGCAGGCAACGCTACCTTGATAGTGTCTGTTCTACCGCAGCCTGAGGCTTTATCATGGTATCAGCCTTGGTGCTGAAGTCAGAGACTTTGTCAAATAGATTCCAGGAAGCCTATGTCTGAGGCAAATTCTGGCCTTGTCAACAGCTAACCCTGGCATTCATTTTGGGGTCTTTTTAAACCTGCCTAAATTTTGTTGAAGTTAAACACTTTAAGTATTAGAGATGAAATTTCTCTAAATTTAGATGAAATGAAAAATATTTTAAATGCAACTGTTTATATTTAGGGTTATGAAAACATTTGATTAAATCACTTTCTCAATCTTATTTTCATTATTGTTCCCCCAAGGGGCATTTTTTAGACCTCTTTTCCCTATTCATGCTCCCCATGAAATTTTAATCCCTCGGATATACTGCAGATCTGTCTCTGCACCACATGTATTTCTGTGCTCTATTAGTAAAAGTGTAAAATTCCCCTCAACCAACCTGTGCTCCTTGTGAATTATTCTCTCCACAATGTAGATTTAAATTAATGATTCTGTTCATGCTCTTTTTGGTTGAGATCTACAATACTTGTTACTATTTGTAGCAATTCAGTGTTTAGCTGAAACTTTAAAGTAGCAAAACTATTATGAGTTGATTTATTTCCCTTCAAAATCAATAGAAAGAAAAGCAGGGGAAGGCAGACGAGTGTGGCCGTGTGTAGAGGACACCCCAAAGTTCAGAGCCAGGAAGTGACTTTCCAGGGCCTTCCGTGTGGCTTGGGGACTCGGGCCCTCTCCCGCCCTCTCCGCACCAGGGGCTGCCTTGCCAGCTGGAACCCCACCACCTGGGCGCTGCAGACTTCCACACTCAGTAGTGGTAGAATTTTGGTAAAAAGAAAATGTGTTATAAAATCTCTTTTAAATTAGGCAGAACTTATATGCCGTCTTTGTGTGGTGAAACACAAAAGGTGATCTTTGCTCTTCCTTGTTTTGGGATCTTTCGGGGTGATGTTTTCCTGGGGCGGTGGGTGGTGGCTCAGCGGCAGGGAGGAGGAGAGGGGAATTGAGACCCCATCGGCACAGACACCTGCCAGAGCGCGCACACCCCCTGCCCGGATATGCTGCGCACCACATGGCCGCTCTCTTTCACCCCAGGGAGGACCATGTCAGATTCCACGAGAAAACCCTTTCATGGGCCAGCGTCCTCGTCTGGGAGCAGGGTCAGCACCACCAGCGGCACCGGGGCCTGTGGGGGAGGAGAGGAGCCCGGGCAGGCGCGTGCGGGGCTGGCGAGGAGCCCAGGCCTGGGACTACCGTGGGTGCCCCGGCCGCAAGGGTGGGTGCTGGGGGTGCTCCCGGGTCGGGGCGCAGCCGTGGCAGCACAGTGTCTCTGATACGCCTCCAGTTCTCTTTGGCCTTTCCTGGTTCCCTTCCAATGTCAGCAACTCACCCAAACCTGCCTGCTCTTAAAATGATAAAACCCTACAAAAATTCTTTCTTCCTTCATCTCTGTGCCTGATGTTTTAGATTTAGCTACTTCACAATAAGGGCGGAATGACTAATAGGGCTGGTCCTCAAGATATTTGGATCTTAAGTGAACTGATAATCGTTAGCACATGAGGACATATTTCTCGGAGTGAAACTTTTTAGTGCATCTTAATCCTTTTCTACTTCCAGAAAACAGACCGGAGCCCCATGAAGGGTTGCTAAATCTACGGCAGAAAAACAAGTTCCTACAGGGAATGTGATCACAGACAGGCACTGCCGCCTCCTTCCCCTGCGCTCGCCCTCCTGTCATTCCTGTGCTCCAAGGACCCTCCCAAGCCTTTTCCTCTTTAAATATCTTGCCTTTTCCAGGTTTCCTTGATGATTCCAGCTTTTATGCTGTTCTTTAAAAAACCACCCCATGTCTACCACATCTTCCACCTATGCTTTTCTCATGGCATTTAATACTGTTTGAGTAAATAAGAGCAAATCTTTTCTGGATGAACAGTTATGAAACATAACTTCTAACTTGAAACATTCAGAACCTATCCCGGAGGACAAAACCTGGACTGAAGCGCAGGCTATTCTCTCTGCTGACTTTAGACACGGAGAAGCTGTGATGGGACTAAAATGAAAATAATCCCTGAGGACACGTAAATCCGCCTCCAATCTTTAGCAACTACTAGCTCCTCATGAATAGCCAATAGCCACAGCACAATGCACTCTAGGAAGCGGCGGGACCAGCGTACTTGAGTGGCGCGGGCAGGATGGTCTGGTAGTTGTAGTGCTGCTGCTGCTGGCTCAGGATCTGGAGCTGCAGGAAGAGCTGCTGCTGCTGGAGCAGGCGGGCGTAGTTGGAGTCCATCTGCGGCTCATTCTTCTCACCTCTCTGGTCCGGTGGAATGTACTGGTGGTACTTCAGCTTCTTCACCCGTGGTTTGGGGTCTTTACACTTTTTGCTCCGGTGTTTGTCATTTGGATTCTTGGGATGGCTTTGCTGTTTTCCAGAAGAAGAAAATAAGACTATTGTAAGAGCTGCTAGTCCACTGTGTGTCTAAATGATTTGAGATTAAAATGCAAGCACCTTTCCATTCTAGAAAGCAATGTACTAAATATATTTCAAGAGCCCTGGAAACAATCGCATCCTTGAAATTTGGCTCCTAAAAACTTCCTTCCTCCTGCTGCACTGGCCCCTGAGTCTAAGGGTCCGATGCTTATTTAGCATTATTTATTTAAATCAACAATATTATCTTTGGGTCTCCCACGTAGACACACTGCTAAGTACCTACAAACATTACCTCTTCCTGAAGAAAAAAAGGTGGTACATTAAGAACATGACAGGCAAAGATAAGGATGGTTCACTCTAACTCTATAATATTTATAATTGTTAAAAAACCTATGGAGAATATGTAAAAATAGAAAAATGCTTCTAAATGAAAATAAACCAGACTATAAAGCTATGTATTTTTAGGGAAAATGACAGAGAAAATTAAAATACCAAGTAATGTGGATATGAATTTTTAAAAAATCTTGAAATAATTGCATTTTTATTCTGAAAATGTGGTATGAGACTCCATCTTATGGTCAAGAATCCGATTATTATTTCCTGAGTTATTTTCTTCCCCATTTTTAAATTATCAGATCAATTTCTACTTTTTAGTACTCATAAGATAACTTCACCTGAAAGAACAGTCCATCAACAAAACAAGATAGAATTCCTCAGCTGCCTTAGGCCAGACACCTAGTAAAGACGACTCTGAGAAGGAGCAAATGAAATCCAGCTATTCATGTGAACTTGTTATATATGTTCCTGTTCACAAAATGAGGAAATTGCCATCCCCCCACAAAACACCCTAAACAAAGAACAAAAATCACGGTATCCTACACATCACAAATCACCAGTCCTGACATTTGCTCTTTACCCCGTGGCCACTTCTGTTCGGTCACGCCGACTTCCTTGTTCACACACTTCGGATTTTCCTCCCACGGGACATCCTCAAGGTCATCCTTCACCTCTTTTAGACCTCTGCCCCAATGTTTCCTGCTTATTTCCCCAGCGCGCTCTAGCTAGAGCAGGTGTCCCTCTCCTCCCTTACGTTGCTCACCCCCTAGGACACGCTGCACTTGTAGCCTGCTTGTCTTCTGCTCTCATCTGTGGGGTGGCGTGCCTGGGGCGTGTCGTGCCCAGGGTGTGTCCTCCACGGCCCTACCTACTCCTGCCACTTCGCCCAGTGTCTGGCACATAGAGGTACATGACTGTGGCTGCTGACCAGAAGCCAGTTGAATTATCAGTGCTTACGACACATCCCAATGTCAGAAGATTCTCCTGCCCACTGAAACATCCTCCTGCAGTCTCACAATACCAATTCACTGTTTTCTGGTTACTTTTTCATTAATAACAAATTTTTTTTCTAGCTTTTTCAAATCAGTCACAACATGGAATGAGGTCTGGGCTGTGGAGGTTTGATGGTAATTGTTACACAATGAGAAAAGAGCCGACTCAGCCACACCTCAGGACCTGTTGAGGAGGGAGGGGAACACAGACACAATGACTCGTATTCCCTGGGCTAAATACACCGTTACCTGTTAGTGGGCACATGTCTATTTTCTCAGGAAGTGAGGACAGGAAGTTACTTCCCTCAGAGAAAAACCCGAAGAGCTGCGATCTGCTTACAGCACATACTACCTGCCCTTTCCCTAGGCTTCCTTCTAGGACTTCCGCCCCAACCCTTGAATTTCACATTTGGAAATAATACACCTTGTCCTAACACCTCCTTAAAGACAGATGCTTGTGAAGAGCAGAAATCCAGAGCAGAGGCGAGGTGGGGGACGCATGCTCAGTACCTGGGGGAAGGTGGGCTGGCGTTCAGGCCTGTGCCTCTAGTGGCACCTGCTTGGGGGTGGGAAGAGGCGCCAAGAGCTGAATACACTGACACAGTTGCCACTTGCCACCCTCTGGAATTTCTGGATCCTATACTAAGTGGTGGAAGATGATGAAGTACACCAGATATGCCCCACAGCCATGGCCACACTGACAGAGAGTCTGGGGTAGCAAGAGAGCCTTTCTCTTCAGGAAGGACAAAGACAAGGACAAGTCCAGTGAACAGACAGACGTGAGGGAGGCAGCAGGCTAAGTGCAGACTGCAGGGTTAGCTGGGAGGCGGCCAGGCTGGGAGGCAGGGGACAGGTCCCTCCTGGCCTTGTCACGTCTTCAGAACTCAGTCTCCGCTGAGTGGTAAGGAGGCTGAGCCAGCTCCCCGGTGTCCTTTGTCAGTTTTGAGATCTATGTTTGAAATCTGTTTTGCTGGTTTTGGCAAAAACCATATCTGAAATGATTACCTATTCCTCAGTTGACCTCCCCGCTACCCCGTTACTTTATCTAATATTTCTAAATATACTTTTAGAATCTTAAAAAATGTACTATATACTAAAATATTTTACACTTCCTTGGGATTTACGCTAATGAATGGTGCCACAAGTCTGCAGTTTATCTGAAGAACAAACTAAACTTCATTGGGCCAAAGCTGCTAAATCAAAAAAAAATGTACCTGCTTCTCTAAAACCTTTAACCTGTCATGTAATATCTATCTGGAATGCCACTGGGTTTGACCTTGTTTATAAAGTTCAAAACCACGTCACCAGTAGACAACTGCTGGAGAGGCCGCGACCAAGTGCCGCACGGCGCCTTGCTCCATGCCTGCTTCATCTCAGCGCTGGTCATCTTCACCACTCCCAAGGCCTTTCTGCACAGCTCTGCGGTCTCATACAGACCAAATTCTGTGCTGTTCTTCTGTGACCAGGATAACCGGTCACTTGTTGAAGGCCTGGCCCAGCAGCCTTCCTCTGCTCTCCTGTTCGCGGCTAAAAGGCAGCCGGTGCCGGCAGCCTCTGCAGCGCTGGTTCGATCCCCGGCCACCTGCGAGGGTCTCACATGGCATGACAGACCTCTCCTGCCGCGCCCGCTGCTCCCCTCAGCAGTGTATTTCATCTTTCTGCCTGTTCTGCTCCCCGCTCTGGCTCTGGTGAATTCTCTCACCCTCCCGTGTCTCTGACTGTACCCAGTGCTTGTATAAATAAATAAATAAACAAACAAACAAACAAATAAATAAATTAAAAAAAAGGCAGCTGGGCAATGCAGATGCAGGCCAGAGTCTCAGGCACACAGTCACGGTCAAGACACTCAAACCCCATGTCTGCAGGGCACCCACCTTCACCAGTGCTGGCCCGGGCTTTGCTGAGGACACAGTGTTTGTGGGGAGGACAGGAGCTGTGCACCTTGCAGGGGTTTGATCCGCAGGAGGAGTTTTCAAGAATTCAGGAACTGCTGGGGGCACTGAAGTAAACTGGTGAGAAAGGCAGAAAAGAACAAGTCTGTGAAATTACTTATTAAATTATCAATAATTTAATAAATCAGTGAAAATATGAAAACCAGAATATAAAGGAATGACCTAATTTTAAAAAAGAAAGTCTGCTAAAAAAGAAACAAAAGAAAAATACATTATGGGCCTCCCCGGTGGCGCAGCGGTTGAGCGCTGGGTTACGAAGCTGCCCGCGGCCTCTGCGGCGCCGGTTCGATCCCCGGCTGCTCCCCGGCCACCTGAGGAGGGTCCCACATGGCACGCAGACCTCTCCTGCCGCCCGCTGCTCCCCTCAGCAGTGTACTTCGGTCCTTCTGCCTGCTCTGCTCCCCGCTCTGGCTCTGGTGAATTCTCTCACCCTCCCGCGCTTCTGACTGTACCCAGTGCATGTGTAAACAGAACAAACAAACAAAACAAATAAATAAATAAACATGCCTCTATAAAAAAAAAAAAAAAAAAGAAAAATACATTATGACGCCTGAGGTCCAGCTGGTGGAATAGCAAGCTTCACGTTAGTGGAGTCAATTATTTAGGCTTTGCTTTCATGGTGATGAAAAAGCTGAAGCTAATTAAGATTAGGCTGAGTAAACTGTAGAAAATGTTTTCTCAAAAATATGGTCAGAACCAACTTTTGTAGCAGAAAGAGCTATCAAAACCATCTATGCCCCGCGTAAGGTCTGCTTGCCTGCTGTACCCGCCATCCCAGCCCCGGCTAATTCGAACGTGACATTCGGCCTTCCTTACAGGGCCTGAGGAAGCCCCTGCACCCCACTCCAGACCCGGCAACCTCTGCCGAGAAAGCTGTCAGCTACCTGGAGTCCCTCTGCTCTTGTGTCCTGGAAAGTTTACGTTCCTATCGCCAAGCCTGACTGTACTTGCTAAACATCTCCCTCACTGCCCCCCATTTCCTGCACTGGGGGAGTCAGATGAAGAATCTATGCTGATGAGAGTGACCTGTTTCACTGACGACCTGCCTCACTTACAGGAAGAAACTAATATACTAAGCAATTACTGAATCTCAGCTTGGAGTCATGTCTGAACAAAGGCAGCTACAGATTTTGTTCCTTATCAAGTCTCACTAGCAGTCTACTTCAAGTAGATTTTAAGTGTTCATTTACTGGAAAAAGTTATTACTACTATAATAAATCAATTAAATATTGCCCGTCAATTACTACTTGAGCTCACTATGACCAGCCTTGTCTAAAGAAAAAATGTCTTTATCACTTCTACTTTCCCGAACAATTCTCAAATGCATTACAACAATCAAGATCAGTTCTCTTGAAGTGTTTGGTTTTAAAAATAGTAAACTGTATTTTCCCTCCTTAAAATAAATGACCTGAAAACTCAGAGGGCTATTAGCAGCAAGAAATATGAAGCTTGGCACATACTAGTTACTCAATAAATATTTGTTTAATGGGTGAATGGAAATTCCTTGTGGCTGTGCTCACGCTAGGCCCGTACTCAAGCCAGCTGAGACAGCATGCAGCTCACTGTGCTCGCCTGTGTTGGCTCCATCCTCAGGTTTTTGTTTTGTCTTGATTTTAGTTTTTCAGTAATTATTTGTGTTGACAACTTGACTTTTAAAGATGGCTGTATTCAACTCCATTTTCAAACAGAAATGAAAAGACTCATCTGCGAGTCTTGACACCTGTTTCAAGCTGACTCTGTCCGCAAATGGCCCCGCGACAGCAGGCTCCTCAGCAAACCTCTGACATGAAGTGAATGGTGATGGGCAGCTGACAGCAGCTTTAAGGGACATGATTTTATGTTGTTTTCCTTTCACTCTGCACATTTTTTAGAAATGAGGATATTTATCTCTGGGTCAATTTTCACACAGGAGAAAAACATTCCTTGGCTATTAAATAACTGGCGTATGAAGTAGAACCAGATAGTTGAACTGTGAAATATGTATGTGTACTTCTTTGAAGATTAAACCCCACTAACCCACAGCCTATTTTACCCCCACTCCCTGATATGACAGTAATGATGTGTTTGGGAACAGTTAATGTTAATAATCTGAGTAATAACCCAGGCGTGTGAATGTGGTGTCCACTGTATTTATGAAACTGGCTTGTCTTTATTTCTAGACCCTGCCTACCTGACTTCAGCCCTGATTACTGATACGGTTTATCTCCACTTAGCAGGAGGAGCCAGCTTAGAGAATTGACACCGTGAGACCAGTTTTACCAGAGATGAACTGATACACAGAAGTTCCAACGGTGAATTTCTGGTCACAAAAAAAAATCATCAAACTGCTAAATAAAGACCAAAATGTCTAGTATTCAACAGTAGTTTGTATCCACTGACTCACTCACTCACCCGCTTCCCAACCCTCTGTTAAAGCAGGGCTGCGGGTAGTGGCCCCCTGGCAGCGCAAGACCAGGCCACTCTGGCATCACGGGCGCATAGCCATGTCCACACTTGCTCAGACTGGGGTCGCCAAGACATGCCAGCGACCTCATGAGCGATCTCTGGGATGTGGAGGACCCAGAGTCCTCGGAGAAAACGTGCAGCCCCACACACGGTCCTGGCTAAAATTTTTTCCCCCTCATCTATGTTGGAACAAAACAACCTAAAGTGAAACCACCTTATCTGCAGACCCGGCTCTACACTCATCTTTGCTCTGTTGGTATCTGTGTGACTCTTCTCATTGGGACACCACAGATTCCAGCACAACACAGAAATCACCCAACCAGGACACAGAACTTGTTGAGTTCACCTCGTCTGAGGATGTAGCCTAGGTCCAAAGTGAGGGCTATCTGAGTTCTTACATTTAGCCAGTCTTTATGACATGCCTTAGAAGGGACCAAAAAAAAAAAAAAAAAAAAAAAAAACCAAACCTGAAAACCCACAAAATCAAACTTAGATTATGTCCTAGTGGCTTGTAACCAAAGTAATCCAAATATTAATAATTCTGAAATGACAATATTACAAGGAGGGTCAAGCAAGGAATATCTGAGCTAGAAAGGATACTATACTTACTTTTTCTATAACAAATTGAGCAATATGTTAAAATCCTTAAAAGAATGTTTTAAATTTCCACTGAGGTTAAGTTCACTGCATGCATCATCAAAATTTAATCTCAAAAAGATTCAGCCGTGGCTTTGCTTTGTCTATTGGCTCCACTCACTGTTTCCATCACAAGTCACAGGCTTCACGCCATCAGCCCTGTAACTGTCATCATCACATCATGAAAGAAAATGCCAGAAGAACACTGTTGCTTGGGCCTCCCCTGGTGGCACCACACTGTGAAGCTGTTCCCAGCCTCTGCAGCGCCAGTTCAATACTGGCCGGCTGCGAGGGTCCCACATAGCGCGGCGGACCTCTCCTGTCGCACCCGCTGCTCCCCTCAGCAGTGTATTTCATCAGTCTGCCTGTTCTCTTCCCCGCTCTGTCTCTGGTGAATCCTCTCACCCTCCTGCGCATCTGGCCTGTACCCTGGTTCTTGTGTAAACATGAGTAAATAAATCTTTAAAAAAAAAAAAAAAAAAAGAATACTGTTGCTTAAAGAAGGATATTTTTGCTTTAAATAGAACTCAAAATAAAACACCTCCAGTTTTAAGACTGACTGTTCCCTTATTGAAACTGCTATAGGAAAAGTTCTGCTATGAAAGAAAAAATAAGTCAGAGCAAATGTTTAAGTGGATTAATGTATTGTTTCAAGTGTCTGCACTGGTGCATTCTGAGAAGAAGATTCCAGTATATTCCCTTTTTATTATAATTTTTTAAATGCAACCCAGAGATTGAAATCTAAAAACCAGATATTTAAAAAAAGCATTTTTGTATTGTCGATTTTAAATACACAATAAATGTGTTTTTAATTTAGGATATAGAAGCGTGCTTAGTTAAGATGGCAATATGCAAATAAATTAAAAATGCAGTTCTTTAAATATTGTTTCCATATTCTAATCCCCAGACAAATAAAATACACTAGTCAATGAATGGGTTGAATAGAAATTAGAAACACATGCTTTCTATATTCAATAGATATGTAAAATTCCAGCTGTGTTAAAACCTACCACCTAGTGCTGACCATTTGTTGCACAAGAGTTGAACACAAAAGTGAACTGATCCACTGGCACAATGCTGGTGGACATTTAGTCAGTACTTAATTTGCTGATTAGCAGTGAGGGTTTACATCTTAAAAGTCTACTTTTAAAAAACTGAGGTAAAATATACATAAAATTAACCATTTTTAAGTGCTTAGTTCTAGGGCATGAAGTACAATGAGGCTGCCCTGCAACCATCACCACCACTCACCCCCTTTCATCTTCTAAATCTAAAATTCTAATCATTAATCAGCACACCACCTCCCCGGACCCCTCCCCAGCCCCTAACAACCACCATTCAACTTCTGTCTCTATGAATTTTGACTGTTCTAGGTGCCTCTTATATAGAGAATCACACGTTTTCCCTTTTGTGACAGGCTTATTTCACTTAGCATAATGACCTCAAGGTTCATCCATGCTGTAACAAGTATCGGAACTTTCTTTTTAAGGCTGAGCAATATTCCACCGTGTGTTATGTACCACATTTTGTCTACCCATGTATTCCTGCTTTCAACTCCTTTGGGCAGATACCCAGAAGTGGGATTGCAGAATCAGATGGCACTTCTATTTTTAACTTTTGAGGACCTGCTATGCCATTTTCTGTAATGGATGTACATTTCACATTCCCACATCCTCACCAATCCCTAGTAATGTTTTCTTTCTTTTTTTTTTTTTGATAGCAGCCATTCTAACAGTGTGAGGTGGTATCTTATTGTGGGTTTGCTTTACATTTCTTTAGTGGGTTTGCTTAGCATGTTTTAATGTGCTAATTGGCCATCTGTTAACCCTCTATAGAGAAATGTCTCTTCTAGTCCTTTGTCCACTTTTAAATGAAGTTGTTCGGTTTTTTGTTGTACTTGTTGAGATGTAGAAATACTTCATATATTTTGGATATTAACCCACTGTGAGATAGAGTATTTGCAAATATTTTCTCCCTTCCTGTGAGTTGCTCTTTACTCTGTTGATAGTGTCCACCGAGGCACAGAAGTTTTTGATTGGGTATTTGTTTGGTGTAGATCTCTGGCACAGGTCTGTCTGGTTTCTAGAGCTTTTATAAAGTTATTTTGGTCAGCAGTTTATTCAGTGGAGAACAGGGCTGGGACCTTCCTATGCTGCCATACTGTTGACATGCATTATCTTTCATGTGAGATTTTCTGTCCCTTGAGAGACAGTGTTAAGTGTGCAGATACATGCAGAAACATCTCAAAATGTGAGTCTATTTAGTATAGTTGACTCTTGAACACTGTGGCGGGTAGAGACCATCCATGTACTCAAAAATCTGTATATACCTTTGGACCCTACTGCCTCCCCGTACTTAACTACAGTCATCCCTTGTTATGCATGGGTATTTGTTTCCGGACTCCCCTCCCCCTGTGGATGCCAAAATCTAAGGAAGCTCCAGTTCCTCAGTGCTGGCCCTTTGTAGCTGCAAGTCCTACATCTGTGGATTCAACCAACCAGATGTCAGCTGGCTGAATCCATGAATGCAGAATCTGCAGGAGGGAAAAAAACACATGTAGGCGGACTGGTACAGTTCAACCCACTTGTTCAGGGTCAGCTGATTTTTAATAGTTCAATTATAACCAGTACTAAGATATCTGAAATAATGTGATAGGAGTAATTAATAGCCTATTGTAATCATTAATGAACCCAGTCCTTTTGGTGGTCACTTCGTACAAGGATCAACATAAAAAATCATTAATACATTGGATCAACTTTGCCAACTCTAGAGCCAATGTCCACCGTATGTATAAAGTTATCACCTATATTCTCCGGAACCATGTAGAATATTGGTTATATCCTTGGTGTGATCACTAAGTGATTCACAAGTTAGGTGAATGTGGAAGCATAGTAATTATTAGAGTTATTATTAGTCATTTTTGGTAGTTGAGTTATGATACTTGAGTAGACTATGGTAGAGGAAATAATCTTGTGTATATTTCTTAAGAAGAATTTCAAACTGTCGGCATAATAAGGACAAAGTCATTCGTTCAAATCTTGTGTGGCCAGAAAGATTCTCTTTTTTGAAGGCATCTGCTTCGGGTAAAACTTACAAAGCAAACAGCTCAGTGTCTGGTGTAGTCAAGTGCTCAGAAAGGGTTGGTCACTTTTTTTTTCATCATTATGTCAATTATATTCAATAAACATCTATTTATTTAAAAATAGATAGGAAAGGCCTGCTCTGCATAATGCACTATTGTAGGCTCTTTCCTACTAGTCACAGGCGAATTGAGTTACAGCTTCATAGTTAATGCCGGAAACCAACTCAAAATCTGAAGCAAGCAGCAGAGTCCTCTTGATTTTCAGTTATAACAAATATAACTGAATGGGGCAATACTAGAAGTTATAGCCAATTGATGCCCTACTTATTAATACTTTATTCAGGCCTTTATTAATAAGTAATTGTAATACAAGGCTAATTTTGATTGTTTGATATATGTGTACATTGCTCATTCTCTGTTAGCACAAACCTGCGTTTTGTGTATTATTTGACAAAAGGTCATCTACCTGGCAGTTATTTGATACAGTGGGGAAAATAGTCTACCAACTCTCACGAGCCTGTACAGAAAATACGAGAGCAACTGACCGTTTTGAAATGGGTTTTGAAATTTACTTTCAAAACTTTCAGCATGGGTTTTGAAAGTTAACACAAATCCTGTCAGAACATACTTCCAGCTAAACGTCTCAGCATTTATAATAAACGATTAATTAAAGGACCTAAGAAATCGCCAAGAGAAAAAAAAGTCTTTGGATTCAAAGGACCGGCGTAGCAGTCCTGGTATCCACATGTGGCTGGCTTGCCTTAATTTTCTACAGCTTTTCATTGTTTAAGAGTTGCTTAAGCACAAAATGAATTGAGCTCCAATATGTGGTGTGTTCCATTAATATTTGGGCAAATTCCTTTCCAGCTGCACTTTGATCCAAACTGAAAAGAAAAAAGTCCAAGGATAAGCAGTTTTAGTCTCTTACAGACCACACAGAACTACATATTTCAAAGGAGAATTTCTTCACTGTTAAAATTTACATCTTGAAGAGAGGACATGGGGCGTGCCATGCTGTCCGCACCGGGAGGGTACTGGCACGTCTGTGCTGGGGATTGCAGGAGCAGCGCCTGGGAAATCTGTTCTTTACCTACATTGCTGTGTGTTAAATTTTTTTTTTTTGGTAGGGACTCTTTCCTATATTTGAGTAATTTTCCTGTGGTACTTCTGTTCTGAAAAAGAGTTATGGAAACTACATGTCATAATACATTTTGGAATAAAGCAAGGCATAAAATCAATGAGTCTAATTTTCTCTCAACTAATTATCTATAAACATAACTTTTAAGAACCTAAAGAAAATTCCTGCACAAGTCTTGAACTTTCCCTTAGGTCAAGTATAAAAAAAAATTACACCAGTGAAATTAGAAAAATGTGATTAAGGAGTAAACATACAGTACAAATTGATGATCAATCAATATATGAAGAACCTTTGTTCAGGTAAAGAAGAAGCAAAATGAATCTATGGCAGAACTGCCAGAAAGTCTGTGGACTTTTGTAGTCCCTGACTGTGACAAATATGATATTATGACGGAAATCTGATGTTATAACCCTTTTATTTTATTTTACAAGATGATCAGTCTACGGTGCATTGGAAATAAAAACACACACTGTTCTACTCTGTCAGCAATTTGAGGCTCGTTGGTGTGTAGTAACTGAAAATCACCATCACATTCTTAGAGTGAGTTTTTTTTTTTAAAGATTAAAAATGAAGAATCGCAAAGAACACCCCAAATATAAGAAGCTCATGTTACTCTTTTATTATCTTTGCTTTAACTTACATTTTAGTAATAGTGATGAGACTGACTTTGGGGGGAGGGGATAAAGTAATTCCAAAAGGAAAAAACATAAATTGCAGAGACCACTTCAGAGGGTCCCTAAGGTAAAACGAAGGGATGCCCTCCGGAGACCTTGATGTCTAATGAGAAACAATGTTTTAAAGCACTTCCCCTTTGAATGACACGTATGAAAGTAACTATATTTAGGGAGATAAATGTACTATACATACATTTTAAGTGAGATGCTTGGACAAACTCTATAAGCAAACAGAGGATAAAAGTGAAAATAATTAGTACAATATGTGCCAAATCAAAACCTAATTACTTCTAGATGACACAAGAATCCCAAAGATTTACAGGCATCATAAAGTTTGCTTGTTTAGTTATTAAAAAGCAAAACCACCTCCAACATTCTTAGAACCCTGCTTAATAATTACCTTTATTTGGTATCAGTGTAGCAGTTAACAGGGACGTGCTTCTTTACATGCATGAATAAAATAGTAAGATTTGTTAGATACCGAAACACTTGATACAAGGGCATTTTATGATTAACGCTCGATTTAAAGTTTCAAGGTACAGAAATGATGTCTCTTGTAAAGCTGCAGTGAGCCTGCCTGATTCTAGGTTCTTTCAGCTCAATGTGTAAGTAGGGGGTTTTCATTCTCGAAAGCAGGTTTTTAGTAGACACAGCTGATCGACAGAAGGCTGACAGTTAATGGTCTGTATGCAGAACTCTTACTGCCGCACCGCTAGCGAGTGTTATAAAAACTGACATTTAAGTCAGAAGTGACTCAATTTACTGGCAATAAATAGAACATTTTGTTCAAGAAATGCTGCAATTCCTTTGTTCTTTCAAGAAATTCTGGAATGTCAGTCTACCGGTAGGACTGCCTCTAGTTCAGGTTTGTCACTAATAAACTTAGCAGGAGACCAAGTTACAAGAGGAAAGTGAAAAAAACCCAGGAAAAGGAGAATGATGACCTTTTACACAGGTAGCACCAACACGAAGCCATTACCTGGTAGAAGGCAGAGGTAGCAACGTTTGTGTTACTAAAAGCTACGGCCAAGCCGATAGCTGTCTGACACCCTGACCTACTCAGACAGAAGCAGAGAACACACAACACAAATGGACAAGTAGCACTGATTCTTAATGTTATTTACTTGCATACTTGACATTCTTTTAAGCCCTATTTTTAAAAGTCAAAACCAGGAGGCAGCAAATATGTGAGAATACAGAAGGGGCTGCTGTGTCTGTTTCTCTCTCTCTGTCTCGTAGCTGCAGTCCTGACAGTCAAAGTTCCTGTCCATTTAGGCTCACGTTTTAGTTGGAGGCTTAGACACAATAAACAATTTCCAGGTAATGGAGATAGGTGCAATAGAGAAAACAATGTTGAAACACATAGTTCCTAATAAATATTCGTGAAGAGAAGAAATGCTTAAGAAATATGTAAATATTTTTAATCCCCAAGCATTCATACCTTTCTGAACCCAGGCTGCCTCTGACTTATGGGTGAAGGCAGAAATTGTTTGAAGTCCTTTCCAACTCAAAAATTCTATGATTTTGGGCTTTAACAAGAACATTTCCTACTGAGCTGGACCAACTCTATTAAGTAGTTCAATAATTTTCACTTTAAAATAAATGCTATTAAAATTTCAGTAAGGCAGAAATGTCATAAGGGAGAAAACGAATTATGCGCAGCATCCAGTAAAAAATAAGACATGAAAAATCCTAATGCGATTATTAGAACAAATTATTAGATTCATTTGCATGCACTGCGTTCTCAGTTCCCAATATATCGTGACACATAATAAGTGCTCAGTAAATATCTGACCAAATGAATTCAGTCTAACTGAAATCAAGGAGCCAAGTAAAATACTCAAATCTCAAACAGTATGCAAGTTTTAAAGTAACAATATCACCTACTTGTGGTAAACATGCATTGTCTATGGAAATCTGTGTTATCTTCCTGGAAGGCCATTAAAGTGCCTACTTTTTGGCTAAGGAAAGATCCAAGTCCATTTCAATGTATGGTAATTTATTTAAGGATTTCAATATATGGTAATTTAGTCAAGAAAACAGACAAGTGCCCTCAAAACTAGTTAAGCAAATAGGTCAGACTCCAAGGTCACTTCTTATATGTAGAGCGCGAAATATTTAAAGAGGAAACAACTCCAGATAATGCTAGGACCCGGCTAAGAGAATACAGCATGTCAGGGCAACTGAACAATTGTAGCCATCACGATAATGTAAACACAGAGTTCTCTTGGCTCTATGGTTCTCTCTATGGCATAGAGCCAAGAGAACCGAACATGCATGTCCACATATAAACTTGGCCACACACCTTCATAACATAATTATTCATAATAGCTAAATGCCTAACTCAAACACCACCAACCAGGTCGGTAATGTATGGCTGTCACACAATGGAGTGGTATTCAGTCACACCAGAGAATGACGTCCTCATACCTGCTACAGGATGTATGACCCTTAAAAACATAAATGAAGGAAGCCAGTCACAAAAGACTATGTACCGTCTGATTCCATTTATGCATAATGTCCAGAACAGGCAAATCCAGAGATAGAATGTAGACTGATGGCCCTCAGGGCCAGAGGGAAGGAGTAATAGGCAGTGACTGCCAATGGCTCTGGGTTTCTTTTTAGGGTGCTGAAAATGTTTTGGAATCAGACAGTGGTGACAGCTGCACAACTCTGTGAACAATAACCATTGAATTGTACACTTAAAAGGGTAAATTTTCCCAGTGTCATATTTAGAGAAACAGAAGAACCCATTCTAACATTCATTCAAAATCTCAGAGGATTTCAAGTAGCCAAAAGTCTTTAAAAAAGAGCAGTTTGAGGTTTCACACTTTCTGCTTTCAAATTTTACTACAGAGCTACAGTAATCAGTGTGGCACTGGCATAAAGACAGATAGACATGCCAATGGAATAGGGAGCCCACAAGTAAACTCGTGTGAATATCGTCAAATGATCAATAAGAGAACCAAGACCAACACATGGGTAGACACAGTCTTTTCAACAAATGGTTTTGGGAAAACTGAACATCCACATACAAACATCCACATACCATATACAAAACATCCACATACCATATACATCCACATACCATATACATCCACATACCATATACAAAAATTAAAATGGATTAAAAACCTGCATGTAAAAATCCAAACTATAAAAATCCTAGAACAAAGGGGAAAAGCTTCACTATATTGTATTTGGCAATAATTTTAGTAAAACATCAAAGCCCAGGCAACAAAACCAGAAAATGGCACTTTATCAAGTGTAAAAACTTCTGCATCAAAGGACACTATTAACAGTGAAGAGGTGACCCACAGAGTGGGAGAAAATATTTGCAAATCACGTATCTCAAAAGGAGTTAATATCCCAAACACATAAAGCTCCCACAATTCAACAACAGAAAAACCATCTGCCTGAAAATGGGCAAAGGACTTGAGTGGACATTTCTCCCAAGATGAGATCTAAATGGGTAACAAGCACCTGAAAAGAAGCGCAACATGACTGAGCATTAGAGAAATGCAACCCAAGACCCCAGAGTCAGTACCTCAGAGCACGAGAATGGCCACTATCGAGAACAGAGACCACCAAGCGTGAACTTACAGGAGTGGAGTGGGCAGGGTCAAAACAGAATGGGGGTGCTGGGGTCTGGGGAGGGGTGGGAGCTATTGTGTAATGAGTACAGGGGTTAAGTTCTGCAAGATAAAAGGGTTCAGAAGCTGTGCTGCACAACAGCGTGAATAAACTTAACACTAGTGAACTTTTAATTTTAAATGGTTAAAACTGCTTTGCAAAAGGGGTAAATAATATGCAAGGATCTACAGAAATGTTAACATTGACTGGATAACAGATGACAAATCTGTATTTTTTCCACATGTTCAGATTTTTCTTCTGGCTCAAGTGCATTACTTTGATGTAGAAAAACCAAGACCCTTTCTCTAGTTAGGGGTCAAGTCAAGAAAGGCGGTACCTGGGCTGGAGTATTTGTGGTCACAGGAGATGACGAGTCACTAACTTTTGGCTCACTCGGGGACGCGGCCGAGCCCTGCGACTCCTGGCTGGCTGGCTGGTCTGGGGACAAAGCGTCACTGCTGTCTTCGTCAAACGAGAAGTCGCCCTGAGTTTGGGGATAGTCCTCCTTCCCAACACCTAAATAAAGAGATGATTCTTAACATCTTTTGGCATTGGACTACCAAGCTTAAAATGAAAAAGAAAGAGAAACATTGTTTGTTCTAAGAACCTTAAAAAACTTGAACATAATGTACTTCCAATGGAAGAACACACCACTGCCTAGGATGAATACTTGGCAAGAACAAAACCAAACCTGAATCAGATAAAGTCTCTGGATCCAACCACCAGTTACAGGAAGTACAGGAGACAAGCATGTTTTTAATGACACCTGGGGATGCAGATGCCATCTGTAAGACCCAGAATGTGGAAATGCCAGAGGACAAAGCAAGCCCATTTGCCAATAAATAAACTATAAGAAAGGAGGAGGAATCCTACCCAGGAAATTAAGACCTAAGAGATATATGAGCCAAAAGCGGTATGTGTACCTTGTTTGGATTCTTATTTGGAATCCGACTGTTAAAAAAGGGAAAGTGGGTGTCTGCTGCTAGGTCCCATCTATTCAATCCCAAGAGATGGGACTGAATGGGTCAGTTGATTGTACTACTCAGAATAACTGAGTACAAACTGCCTGGGATTTTGAACTTTTTTTTTTAAGATTTATTTATTTATTTATACAAGCACTGGTACAGTCAGAAGTGTGGGAGGGTGAGAGAATTCACCAGAGCCAGAGCGGGGAGCAGAACAGGCAGACTGATGAAGTACACTGCTGAGGGGAGCAGCGGGCGTGGCAGGAGAGGTCTGTCGCGCCATGTGGGACCCTCACTGGCGGCCGGGGATCGAACCGGTGCTGCAGAGGCTGCGGGCAGCTTTGCAGCCCAGCGCTCAACCACTGCACCACCAGGGGAGGCCCGGATTTTGAACTCTTAACTAATGTAAACTGTGAAGTCCCATCAGTAATGGAAACTAAAATAGTTTTGAAAAATAAGATGGTAACTTTTCAAAACTGCTTGCTGAATATTGAGCATTATTCTGGAATTTTTTTCCTGCTAAAGCTCATGCCAGGAGGAAAAAAAAAGGAGGGACATTAATTACTAAGTACCTAGCACTGGAGCAAACGAGACATACAGCACCAGTCATTCCACTGATGGTTCTTCACGAACCTACTCTATTCTCACCTGCTGTTACCTTGAACTAACATCTGATAAACTATTTTTAACAATATTTTCTAGAAGTAAACTAAAATAATGAGAATTCTTAAAAATTATTAAAATAATAGAAGTTAAATGGTGGAAAAAATAAATATACGTTAGCAAGCATAACCGTGAAATCAGAACATAAGACTGAAACTTCAAACATGGTAGGAATCCGAGGTACTCGGTAAGAGATGCTAGTCTTAAAAAAAGCAGGATTAACTACAGTATGATAATAATGGGAATCTACACACGCTGTTAAACTAACACACCCAGAAAATGATGCTCGTAATTGGCTCTGGACCTTTTTTTTAATTGCCTTGTCTAAAACTCCCGTTTCCCCCGCTCCCAGAAAACAATAACCCTATAGTCTTGCCTATAATCGCTTCCTTAACGCTGGAGTCCACGGGGAGGATGTTCTTCTCCACCAGCTCCATGGGGCCAGGCCTCTGGGCAATCTTTTCATTCAGGTCATCCGCCAGTCGTGCTCTCTTCAGCCTCATCTGCGTGGCCTGCAGGGATGGCTCTGCAAATGTTTCTACAAGAGGAGACAGTGCAACCATTAATTGAAGCACTATTCCTACTCCATAATGTTATTTCAGGCCAGCTAATTTTTTTTTTAAAAGATTTATTTTTTATTTATTTATTTTTTTAAACAGAAGTCATTTTTTTTTTTTTTAAGATTTATTTATTTATTTATACATGCACTGGGTACAGTCAGAGCGCGGGAGGGTGAGAGAATTCACCAGAGCCAGTGGGGGGAGCAGAGCAGGCAGAAGGACCAAAGTACACTGCTGAGGGGAGCAGCGGGCGGCAGGAGAGGTCTGCGCGCCATGTGGGACCTTCCTCTGGTGGCCGGGGAGCAGCCGGGGATCGAACCGGCGCCGCAGAGGCTGCGGGCAGCTTCGCAACCCAGCGCTCAACCGCTGTGCCACCGGGGAGGCCCCTAAAAGATTTATTTTTATTTATACAAGAGCTGGGGTGCAGGTAAGAGTCGTGGGAGGGTGAGAGGATTCACCAGAGAAAGAGCAGGGAGCAGAACAGGCAGGCAGAGGGAAAGCACTGCTGAGGGGAGCAGCGGGCGACACAGGAGAGGTCTGCCGCGCCATGTGGGATTCTCCCTGGCCGGCCGGGAATCGAACTGGTGCTGCGGAGGCTGCGGACAGCTTCACAGCACTGCACTCAACCCACTGCGCCACCGGGGAGGCCCTCAGGCCAGCTAATTTGACTTAAACTAGTTTAAACATATTTATGTGTTCTGAACATATTTGCGGAAAGAGAAAAAGACTTTAAAATGCTCCAATATACATTTTGTAACTTTAAGTCTTGGACAGTTTTATGCATTGTGCACACAATGTGCATAAATTAATACAAACACAAAGTCAAATTAATGCAAACATAAGTCAAAATAGGGGTGCTGCTGTTGTTCACTTATAGGAAGATCAAGTTTGGGGATATGGAGGATGAACAGAACAGATTTGGTCATGGCTCAAGAAGCTGATAGTTTTAACTAGGTTTGGCTTCATTGGAAAGTCAACTCCTAAAAGTGGAGACCCTGCATATTAGGATCGGAGGTTCACGGTAGGAGCCAAGAGCTACGAATCATATTCTCGCATTGATCACCCTGTGTTTCAGTCCATTACCATAACCAAGAATCTGGGTTTATTTCTGAATACATTACCTGTGTCTGTCAGAAACATTCAGAAGCATCAACTCATCTATTTACAAATGCATAAAGTTGTTCAATAGATGTGAAATTACTATAAATATCATAACACATTCATTTGTTTAATTCTGTCAATTACATGTATTTCTGGTAATTCTCATCAACATTTTATTCCACTGTTGAAATAATGTTCATAATTGATTAAAAATAATAATGCAGTGTCAACCCCATTTCTGAGTTGAAAGTAGCTTGCCTCTTAAATTATACAGTAGGTGTTTTAATGAAACGCCCCATAAGAAATCTCAGGATTAACTGATGTTCCTCCTCTGTAGGTAATGTCCTGGCTGAAGCCCAAAGCTCAGCTAAGCTACTGCCCAGCTCATCTGTGCTCTGCTCTTTCTGCCAGCTGAGCCACAGGCTTACCAAAGCCAACCCTGACTGTCCACAAAACAGTTCATATCTGTTTTGCTTGCTATTGTCCATATGTAATTTAACCAAATGTTGTGGGAATATAATATTGTGCAGAAAAAAACTGAGTCTTGGAAAACTATGGTAAATACTTTGAATTGGTTTGGCAGATGAGTCATTAAAAAAATTACTGTCAAATTAGTTTGGGCAATTAACAATTGGAAAAGAAAAAAATACACAATTGAGGAATTTTAACTTTAGATTGTTTTTCAAGTGCAAATTTTGTTCCACCACAAAGAAAAATTATAGTTAATGTGCAATGATGGTGTTTTATTCAAGATGATGTGAGTAATTCCAATTCCATTCACTGAAACCTTCCCCAAGGTGAGATCCTAACCCTAGGTTGGAACATTGGAAAATTGCACATTTCTGTACGTTAAACACCATAATGTCTGCCCATCTCATTTTTATAATTTTCCTGCAGAACCAACTGTGATCACCAATCTTATTAGATGGAACACTTTTAATCATCCAAAAAGGTAAGTGGTTTGTAAGAATGAGATCACACAAATCACTCTTTTTTTTTTTTAAGCCTTTTTTTTTTAAAGATTTATTTATTTAATTATACAAGCACAGAGTACTGTCAGAGGCGCGGGAGGGTGAGAGAATTCATCAGAGCCAGAGCAGGCAGAGTGACGAAGTACACTGCTGAGGGGAACAGTGGGCGGCAGTAGAGGTCTGCGACCATGTGGGACCCTCGCCTGGCAGTCGGGGATCGAACCTGCGCTGCAGAGGCTGCGGGCAGCTTTGCAAGCCAGCGCTCAACCACTGAGCCACCAGGGAGGCCCCAAATCACTCTTAGGTTGATGTTTAAATGCTTTTTTTTTTTTAAAGAGCCTTTCTCCTTTCTACCATTAAAACCATCCAAGTGATATCAGGAGCATGTTTGGAAGGAAAATATTCCAAAAATGAACAGAGGCTGGTGTTTTGCTTCACTCCATTCGCAGTCACATTACCTCCTCACCTCCAGGAGGTTGAGCTGGATTTCAGCTGCTGAGCATTCAGAAAATAATTTAGACATCTGCCTGCCAAACATCCAATCCAATCAAGACTGGAATAATATAAAGTAAGTTGGGGATGTTTTAGGTATTTTATAGATGATACATCTTTTCTTCAAAAATCCCAATTGAGAATAGATGTTCTTAAAACATCACTTGTATCGTACATAAGGTTAAGATATTAAATGCTGGGGAAGACTTGAAAAACAGAAAGTACTCAATGTACTTGCCTTAGTTTCTGATAGCTCCATGTACTTGCCTTAGCTGTAATTGTATTAATAAAGCCTGTCGCAGTTAGAGGGCAAGTTGAAATAGACAGTGCTGTTGCTACAGAATGTCTCCTATAGGTCAAGACATTTTCAGGCATGGAGGAGCTATTTACCAAGTTACTTACCAGAAAACTTGCTTCTTTGAAGATTCACTTATCCCTGACAGCTGGTAGCTGCTCCTATCCTACCATTGGAGTTCTGGAAAAGCTTTTTTAGTCCAGTGGACTTCTGAGAAAAGCAATCCAAAGCAAAGAAAGGCATATATGCTCGCCGCCCCCGCCCAGATGTGATGATAGACACACAGACATAGATTCTTTGGATTAGAAATGACTCTCCTTGGGGTTAGAGAGAACAGCTTGATACTTGGGACTTCTTCACAATATCCCTAATAAGCAGAGGCCACCGTCAGTCTGTGCTTATTTATTCCCTATCACAGAGGCCTGTTCATTCCCTGTAGCGCAATCTGTCTTGTCTGTTGTCTCTGCCACTAGAATGTAAGCTGCAGGAAGGTAGGCATTTGCCTGGCTCATGTGTTGGGTCTCGTGTTTAGGATGGTAACCAGGGAACAGACAACTCTAATAACCATAATAATATGGCTTCATGAAGATTTTATGTTTGGACATGCCTAGTCTTTAGATTTTAGTCCTGCATTGTGCACATATCTAACAGTTTGTAATATCAACCTAATTCTAATGTTATCATTAGGCCAGAGAGAACAAATAGAATCTTCCTTCTAATTATCTCTAAACGGTTGACAAGTCCTCAGGTTCTTTCTGTATCTTCTTAACACTCAAGATTATCAAGAATCAAGCTACAAGTCTTGCTCAAGAAATTAGACACAAAACAAAGAATGAAACTGTAATGTGGGAACTCATGGTGGTGATACCATCTTTCAAGAATGTTCTTTTGTAGAGAGAAAATACTCTTGGCCTGACCCACACCTCTTACCAAAGACAGCATGAACTGTCCGATCAGCTTCATGAGTGATTAGGCTAGATCATATGGAAAATCTGGCAGGGGGAGGGGCAGGTATTTACAATAATGATCAGGTCAAGCTGGGCTGTTGTGGATAATAAACAACAAAGAAAAATGTCTGGCGTGGGCATCATACCAGGTAGATACATGGGTCCAAGTGGCTGGAAATCTAGATTGGATGTGGGGCTGCTGCATCCTCTAGGCTTAAGGACTTAATGAGTCACAGGTCCCTCATTGATGAAGGATCTCTGGACTGAAAATGATTTTCCAGAACAGTATGGTAGAGACACCTGTGACACCAGCTGATAGGGGAAGAGTCAGTCCATCAATTGGCATTTGGAGAATCAAACCTTCCCCATGTATCTAACATAACATTTAGCTTTGGGTCTTCATGTTGCTATCCAATTTGGAGGATGTCAGCCTGTGGGGCAAAAAGTTATTAAAATAGGAATAAACAGAAATGGTGGAATTCTCACTTTTCTTGAGAAAACGCAAGAAAATCAGAGGAAGTAAAACTCTTACCTTCTAAAATATGCATCCTGACAAGTTCAGAACGATCTGGTCGGCTCCGAATCTTGTGTTTCAAAAAGTTTTCAGTCTCAAAAGAAGAGAAAAAGTGTTATCCTAATTGATTTATTGTGGTTTTACATTTTTTTTCCTCAGCGAACTTTATTTAAATAAACTGTCTACCCTTTTTGTCATGACTTGATTTTTGAGCAGAATAGAAATCAGTACTTTGAGAAACTGTTATCTGATGCATGATTTAAATTGCGGTCTTCAAAATTGCACAGGGATTTGAAGCGTATTCTGGTACAAAGTAAGCACTTTATAGACTTTTATTTTAAAACTTGGCAAAGTCAGAGGCTCATAATCTTGACGATTTTTAAACAGACATAGGATTTTGGTCAATTAAGTAACTAAAATCAATAAAATCTACACTTCAGGTCAAGTAAAACCCACTTAGATGACACATTTCCTAAAGCTCCTAATGTATTTTCTTTGATGAGTTCATGTCTCTGATCACATTTTCTTAATTACAACTGTGCTTAACTCTAAAAATAGAACTTTAAATCAGGTTTTATATTATGTAAGACTCTAAGACATCATTTATTATACCCTGGGAAAATTCTTTGGGAATTTTTGGAACATGCTTATTTTCATGTTGCATGACAGCAACTGTACTAAAAACAAAGTGAAAAGGATGAATATGAACAATGGTAATTTTAAAGGAAGATAAAAAACATCAATTTGATTAGCAATTATGATGGGGTCATCTCAAAACCTAAAGCAAATTGAATGTAGCAGTATCTACAATGATATAAAATATACACAAATTCCCCTACTCTTGGTATGTTTGTACGTGTGGCACAGACCCAGGGGAAGCTGCCTGAGAGGCAGTGTCAGGCCACTGCTGGGGCTAGGCCCTTGCAGGGTAACAAGCAGAAGTGCTTCACTGTGAGTCTAAAAACTGTTATGCCCTGAATGCAAGAAAGAGGAGTGTGCTTCGTCCTTTATGTACAAAACTAGTTATGGTCTTATAAGAACAAAATTTGAGTGTCATATATTTCTACAGACTTCCAAGATAAAACCATAGCAGAATATATTACTCTACACTCCATCAACTCTGAAAATACATTACATTTTTTTCCTCAACATATTTAGAAGTAAGACTGCTTGCTACTTGTCCACTGGTACTTTAAAATGAGGAAACAGAAGTAGAACATTTAAACTGAAATTTCTTACTCTGGCTCGTTCCAAGCTTTTTATCTGCTCATGGAATGCCGCTGGGCTCTTCAAAGCTGTGAAAGGAAAATAAATCATTTCCACGGTGTAAATAGGAGTTAATACTTAGTCAAATGTTATAGTATTTCATATTAATTCTTCCTCTTGATCTTATTAGTTCACATCTGCAATTTTATTTACTATTTATTTACTAGTTCCTTTAGGAAATCTGCAAAATTTGAAAGCTTAGAGAAATCAGAAGTATTTCACAAACAAATGGACATTGAAAACAGCACTGACTATATAACGATATCACAAATATTATGTCAGATCAGTTCCAGCCTGGGGTAAATTTTCTTTGCTTAAAGAACTGTGCAATGATTCCTTGACAGGTCTTTGCTCTTAATGGCCATAGAAGCTACTGGAAAAGAGCTCAGATGTCCTCATGGACATTTAACCTTAGAGTGATCCAACCTTGTCCATGAGGACACTGCATTCCATGTTCAAGAGATCCAAGAATGCACCGTGGGCTTGGCCCTGTGCTCTTGTAAATCGTGGTTACACTGCTGTTGACCATCAACACCACCTTGCAAAGTAGGTTACTAGACCCAGTGCAGATCAAAATACAGATGAAAGGCCCCAGAGGTTAAATGAGTTCTTGAAGTCATACAACTAACCGGTAGCCAAAGTGGGGTTTAAATCTAGAATTCTGAATTTGAAAGGTTCATGCTCTTTCCACTATACCACAATGCAGCTCACTCTAAAGGTGCAGTGAGTCCTCAGTATGTTAACTGCTAGCTCATTAAATATTCCCAAATTCTAGAGTAAGGGTAAACAGTATTTACTAAAGCATCACCTATTGTAGTATTTCTATTAAATATCTTTGCAAAAATTGTGTACGTCCACCATTGTCTGATAACATGCTGCACTTACAACTACAGGCAGTCAGACGATGCAGACAGGACAGAGGATGAGCCTCTCGGAGGCCTCACCCCTAGACGCCACAGGTCTGACCCTGGTAGCATTGTTTTCAGCTCCTCTGGTATTTGAAGCAAAGCAAAGTATTGCAGGAGTCCAGCGCAAGGGAAGATGGCTTAGCAGTGGTGACCCAAACATCCAAATTTGATCCAGTTTGGTTGACTGGTACGGAGTCAGGTAGGTAGTGGAGAAAATCTGGCAAATTATCAAACCAGCTTTTCCCTTGATCACAATGCTAGATTTAAAGTGTTTAGATAGCCAATTAATACTGGCTCCACCCAAAGTTTTGCTGAGAAAAATATCACAGAGAAAAAGTGTTCCTTATCGTAAGTCAAAATAAGGTAATATCAATGATTCAAATGCAAAAATGCATTTCATAGCTTTTTAAACTGAATAAGCCATTAGTTTGGAGAAATATTTTTTGACAAAAATCTATATAATTGCCAAACATGGCAATTAAAGGTAAAGAAGACAATTAGAGTACTTGGAGAAATACTCTAAAATTAATCAACTCTTGAAGGAATGAAGGGTAGAGATACTTGGTAAGTATTTTGGGAAGAAATAATTTATTAATTACAAATAGAATGTTTATCAGCCCTGTAACAAAAATATATTAATTATACAGGTGACACTATATAGCATTAGAGATAATTAATTTGGATAGTACAACATGGTTCTGAATTAACTTTATTATGTTACTTTTGCAAGACTAACACTGGGTCCATTATTAGAGTGATTCCTTCAATTATTTCAAAACTGCAATCAATGTTGAAGTTTGAATCAGAATTGTCAGTCTAATTGCAGCAATTTAAAGAAGAATTCCTTGTGTAACACAAAAATTCACGTCTATCTATTAAACTGCATCTGGTTTTCAAAATGTATCCTACATGCTTCTCTGAGGCTGGCAATACTGACGCTGGTCTTCTCTCCAAAGCGCATTTGGTAAGTGCACACTGATAAAGTGACCATGAGCAAGAGCAGAGCGTGACAGTCTCTTTTTGGACCTGCCCTCCTTGTCACTGCAGTAGAGACGACAACGACATGGAAATCTTACGTGGCATGATGCCCTGGTCCACTAGCTGCTCTCGCGTCCTCCTCTGTTGCAGCCTCAGCTGGAGCACTGTGAAGAGGAAATAACCGCCATTGAAGTTCATAGGCAACTGTAAGGGCCAACTCATGAAATTGCAGAGGAGATGCAATTAAATTTAACCAACATTTTCTATTTCACAATTGAAGAAGAATTCTACCCAGTACCATCCAACTTGTAATAAGAAAATCATATTTGTCATTTTGGGGGATCATAATTTGATGACTAAAGCTAAGCATTTGTTGTTTAATTACAATCACACAGTAGTCAGAAAATAAAAAAATAGCTTATAAACACTCATTAATAAGTTTATTTGCAGAAAAAGTGATGAGATTCCTTGACTAATGACCCAAAGGAAATTTTATAAATTAAGAGCTTAGTTTAATAACTCACAAACATAAAACTCATTCCACAAGTTTTAAAAAAGCCACGATTGACACATTACTTTAATAAAAGTAAATAAATCATTAGAACTTGTAGAGAATGAAGTGACATCACAAAATGTGGAAACCCAGCTTATCAAGCTGATTTCTTTCACAGCATCTCTACATTTTTATCTAGAAAATCAGCTGATTTCCAAAAAGTAACTTTGAAAAAATACTTTCTTGCTTTGCTTTACAATTTTAACTTTCCATGTTGATTTTTGTTTCAAACTACCTATGAAAACCAAGGTTAGTATTATTAAGGATTTACTTACGGGTTGTCAATATGCTTAAAAAACAAACAAAACCCTACCTTATAATATTAAGTGGTAGAGAAGACAGAATTTTCTAAGAAGGGGATGATGGGTGCAATGAGAGACTGACCTGGACCAGTCTCTTCCCCAGGCTCAAAGGTAAAGCACAAACTGGCTCCTGCTTGAAATAAACCTGAGCCCGAAGGATGCGGGGACCCTGGAGCCTGCACCCTTTGCCTGCCTCGTGCTGTGGCAGACCACGGTACACACGGAGAGTGACTTTGGAAAGAGCACAGACTGCAAAACGGCTTTAAAATGTATTTTCTTATTTAGTGTGTACTTGTTACTACTAGATAGGACTGTCATCCTTTATTATATACAGAATTTTTAAATTTGCTTCTTTGGGGGCAATGACATCTTCTTTTTGGGGCTTCACTGACCTCCAACTTGGAATGAAAGCAACTGAGGTTAGATTCTAATATACAAAGCAAAAGAAAATTTTAATAGGTCAAAAAATATATGCACGTTTCTCACATTAAAATCTTTTGTGATATTCTGAATCAATTATGCTCTATCACAAAGATCTTTTCCCCGATAACTTACAGTTTATTGAGGATAGCACGCTCCCCCTGGACTTTACTGGGACAAAACCAAGGATGACCTGTGGATCTGATGGCACCCAAGTGCCCGCGTTTTAACAGTCTCCTGTGAACACTAAGGCCAAAAACGCCTGTCCAAAAGGGTAACATTCAAGAGGCAGAATCCCAAGAAAAGGGAGACTGAGAGAAGAAAAGGGCAAGGACCATCTCCAGGTCAAAGGCCGACACTTCTGGCCCTCGGTGGCCCGTGTCTTTTGCAGACTCTAGCAGTAGGAGCTTTCTTTTCTCTCAACGGAGTCCTCAAAGAAAGGATAAAATAGGTAGGATAATGAAAACAGCCCCCTTCTTTGGTTTCAAACAAATAAGCAAGCAAGCAAGCAAGCAAGCAAGCAAGCAAACAAAAAAGCACCATACTTGTGAGACAAACGCATCAAATCCAATACATATTTGTGGGCAAACAGCACTGGTCCTGATGGATACAGTTGCAACTTGATTTGCAAACCAATGCTGATGATGAGGGCTCAGGAAGCCTCTCGCCACCTGGAGGTTGCCAGCTGCCTTCCCACTGCCCACAGCGCCCTGTGTCATCCTTGACTAGAAGCCACACCTCCATGCTGTTGCTTGAAGGTAACGGGGTAACACACACAATGAATGCGTGTCACCACTCACCAACTGTTAACATAAAATAAAAACCAAACGCAATCCATTTGCATTTTCTATTCATTTTCTACAAGGCAAAACAAACAAAAAATCTTATGGCACGTTGCTTGAAGGCAGGAGAATAATCTTCCCAACAAATGGTCTCATCATTACCTGCATCATTGCCCCACAAAGTAAAAATACTGCACTGCAAATCTTACTTAAAGCAGGGTGGCAGGCAGGTGTCCTCAGGTAAGTTCCTTTACTGAGGTAAGCTTAGCTCTCAGGTGTGTCAGTGACTGCAAGGACATGACGGGATACAAAAGTTCAGCAGCAGCTGACCTGAAAGTCTGTTTTTAAGTTAAGACAGCAGGAAGAACATGAGTGGAAGAGGAAGTGCACCTGCAGTAACTTGGCACGGTGTTAGACACTGATTACCTGTCTATACAGACGGGGGACGGCACTGGAGGCATTATATAGAACACAGGCACAGTTCCCTGTTGAGAGACACCACCACTTTTGATCAGTGTGAGAACACACTGCAGTATATTTGTTGACATTAAATGTAACTGGTTGCTCACAACTTGATAAAGGCTCTTCTGGGAACAGCTACTATTAGGAGGAAAGATGTCCTGCGCCAACTCCATACAGGCTTTGTGGACTCCACCCCCACTCCATCAAGATACTGGGAACTACAAATCCCATGATACCCAAAGGGAAGTAGCGAGGACCTAAGGTCAGAGTTAAGCAGCTTTTCTTGCACTTGTGTTTATTACCGGCCATGTGAGTGGGGTCTCTCTCTCTTGGCTCGTGCTTTTGGCCACGCAGCGTTTGGTCTTGGTGGGTCATTTGGGATTCCAGGGCAGCAGAATGGGTAGGAGGCATTTAAGAATTTATCTCCCTATTTTTCTCCCTGAGTTGTTCATTTCCTCATTTCCCCTTCTCTTGTAAATAAACCTGTTGTTAACCTTTTGTGTGTGCCTGCAGTTTAAGTCCCCTTTAAGCACGCGGGTGAGGACCCACAGCCAGGCAACCTGTTTTATATCAGAGTTGCCCTGTAACACTACTAGTTATAAAATGTACCAACCAGATATGTAAAGGCTTATAATTTTGGAAAATAAAATTCTTCCTTTCAGTACTTACTAATCATGCTCATCAAATTCCTAAAGTAAAGTAAGCTTGTAGTAAATGACAACCAGTATCTGCATCTTAAAGGCAGGTGGTCCAAAGCCAGAAGCATGTGGCTTGAATGATGTAGGCAGCTTACTTGTTCAGCACTCAGGGAAGCTGGAGTAGGAAGGGTTGGCGGGGCTTCTCCAGGACTTTGAAGGGGGTAAGACACCCTGAATAGAGAACCTGATCCTTTTGATCCTTTTAATGACCAGAGGGGCATTCATGGTTGTGGGAGGAAGAGACCATCAAGTTTCTCTAGGGTCTTTATGCATTAACCTGAAAACCATCCTTCTCTCTTTGTAGCCTCCATGCTCCTGTCCCTGCAGAGGGAGGAGAACAGATCACTGAGGGCCTAGGACCTCTGGCACAGCTGTGATTCCTAGGACCAACGAATAAGCTGGTACACCGGCAGAGCTCCAGAAAACCTGACACATTCTGTGTTGACAAGACTGCATTTCTGCAGCCACAAACCAGAGATTACACACTGCTTTCTAATGGCAGTGGCAGGCGGTGGTGCTGGTACAGTTGCCTAAGAGGCCTGCATCGCAGGCACTGGCCTCCTTTCTGAACCCAAGAGCATTCTCCTTCTGGTGCCTAGTTGAGTGATGAACTGTGCTGAGGGGCTGATTATCAGAGCTTACTTCCTATTAGAAAACTGACTAAAATTCAGTATGAGTCATGGACATCTTATAAAGAATTACACGCAAGAAAACATGTACATCTATGGCATTCTCAGGGATAAAAAAGCTCAGAACACGAAGTGCGAGGAGCTACATCCTTTCAGAAATTAAAGGACACAGAACCAATCGAGTGAAGCAGAACTCATCCCAACTGCTCATATTAGAATGTTTTGCCTAACTTTGAAAAATGGACTGGGACCTAAGAGGTCCTTAGATTTAAAATGGTTGGTTTAAACCTGCTTTGATTTTCTCAAAAAACAAAAAAAGGGAGGCACAGCCATAACAAAGAAGGTATATGTCATTTTGTAGCTAGCATTGTAGTCCCTGTGCAAAAATATCTGCCATAAAGTTGAAAATTCTACAAAAGCTCTGCATTTTCCATGACGAAATTCACAAGACACGAAAGGACCCCCCTAATCAAGAGAGGGAGATGAGCTAAGCCATCTGCTTACCCTATGGGTCACATTTTTCTTAACCAGCCTGAATTCAAGGCTTTTATTTTTATTTAAAAAACCTATTATACAAGTGATACATGTTCATTATACAAAATAAGGAAATACAAAAAAGGAGGAAGGAACTGAAAAAGAAAATCTCCGACGAAGTCACCAAGAGAGACACACAACTACTGTTTACCATTATCGGTATAATTGTCTCTTATCTAAGCATAAATTTTTATTCCCTGCTTCTATATACTATGATCACATTGTAGATGTAATGATAAGCATTCTAACAGCTACATAAAACATTCTGTTGGGTGGACATGCCACAGCTAACTAAATACTCCCCTACTGTTTGTCACTAAAGGTTGTTTCCATTTTTTGCAACTATAAATGATGCGATGGTGGAATTTTTGTGTATAAAGTTTATTCCTTATTCCCTAGGAATAGGAATATCTCTATGTGATCCATATGAAGCATGGCACAAATAATGAGACTATAGTCTCTGTGTGCAAATCAGCATGTTTTGAAAACATACTTGTATAAGAACATAGATGCACAATACTCTAGCTCCACTTAGTTTAGAGAAAACAATTATTGAATTTTTTCAAGGTGATGTGTCTTTTTATCTCTTTCAGCTATTATTCATGGTTTCCTGGTACATCCCAACAAAGAGAAAAATGCACCCAATTTTGAAAATTCTACTTAGTGTTATTTCTTGTAATAAAAGATAAAACAATATTGTGCCAAAAGAAGTATTTTGAACTTGCTCTTTTTTATATATAAGAATAAAACTTTTATTATAAGCACCATTCAAAAAAATGAAAGGTAGTTTATCTAATGGTAAAAACAGGATACATTATTCTTACTCAGTACACAAATAGTTCAGGTATTAAAAAGTATCTTCTTTTAGTACCTTTCACGTACTTTTATAAAATAAAACTTGAGGATTAGTTTTCAATACTAAAAAAGCCTTAAAATAAAACATCTTTCACAAAATACTTGTTCCCCACTTCAAAATTTTCAGGTGCTTTTCAAACCAAGATGATATGTCTATCCTCCTTTGTTTCTATAAGTAGAATGTTTGAAATATAGCCACAATATGATTAAAACACCCTTTCACTCTAAAGAAAAAAAGTACTATGTAGCATTTTAATAACATACAGCAGTTTAGCCTGAGTTGTAGAAGCCAAGACAAAGCACAGTTTTGGCTCAGGGGGCTTGGAAGGGGACATCTGAGGACTGCACATTACAAGGCGGAGTGGCACTTTCTGGGAAGCAGTGTGGCAAGCAGCCACAGTCTTAGAAATTCTTTATAAATAGCTAGTTTCAGTTATGGGGAGATAGGGGGTGGGTTGAGAAGAGAGAGTTGAGGAGAGGGAGATGAGTAGTATCTGCAAGCTAGAGGGAGGGTTCAGAATGTATTACTTAATTGCAGTACAATGGGTGGAATAAACTGCATGAGGGGAGAAAAGAAATCCAAAGGCTGAGCCATCAAGCGAAGGCTGCGACATCAGAGGCAAAAGCAAAGATGGAAAACTAATGAACACTCTCAAGTTGACTATGGATTGGCTCTGAACTAGGCACAAACCAGACTCTAGTTTCAGTTTTTTAATTTTTTCAAACAGATGTTTGTGTAGCTAAAAGAATGAAGTAGCTGGACTCTGGCAAAATTTATTCTCTATTGTTTAAATAGCATTAAATCAGGGGCCTAGTTCTATTTAAAAAAATAGAATTTAGAAAAGTCAAAATTCTCACATTACCTTTTGAAATTAGATATAGGTGAGATTAATTGGTCTTTAAGTAACATTTTAGAACAACTAATTTGAGGGCACTATTCAATCCTGTGTCTTATCAAGCAGCAGCTCAGAGATAAAATTTAGAATTACATTTGTCTAATGAGGTAAGGGTAAATGACATGAAAAAATTATATCTAAAGGGCAAAAGACTGAACTACTTTTCCTTAAAAACAAATATTTAAAAAGGTGTTGGTGGTTATTAGAGTCACAAACACTATGAGATATTTTATAGACTTGATGAAGATAAACACTTTGCCCCCTTAAAAATAAACCCACAAGGATTTTTAAACTTCTTAAAAATATTTTATTTTATATAATTCTTACATCATTTTTCATTTTTGCACAATGTATGCATTTTCATTTTGGGTATATTCCCCATACAATTGCACCCCCCCTAATTTTGACCCTAATCTTTCCTCTTCCCCCACCCCCATAGTGTGTCTCTGGTTTATAGTTGCTTGATGATTTTGATTTTTTCTTTATTATAGTTAGTCTTTTTCCTGGTTCCTTATTTAGGTTTTCTAAATTCCTGCTATGAGTGAGACCATCCGGTATTTTTTTTTTTTTTCTTTCTGGCTTATTTCGCTGAGGAGGATCCCTTCCAGCTCCATCCATGTTGCCGCAAATTGCATGAGTTTATCTTTTTGATTGCCAAGTAATATTCCATTGTGTAATAAAGTAAAAATCAAAATCAACAAGCAACTATAAACCAGAGACACACTACAGAGGGGGGAGAAGGGAATAGGATCAAAACAAGGGGGGTGGGTGGGAATTGTATGGGGACTATAACCAAGATGGAAATGCATACATTGTGCAAAAATGAAAAATGATGTAAAAAAATACATAAAATAAAATTTAAAAAAAACATGAAATCTAGAGATCATTCTTACTGGCTGATAGGTCGTATGGATAGATCAATCACACGTGCTGAGGTTTCTGGAATGTTTGCTATTACAAACAACACTGCAGTGAATCTCATTCATTTTGGGGCATTCATGGTAATATATGTGTAATAATTTCTAATAATGGAACATGGATTTAAAATTTTGATGGGGCAGTTTGCAATAGAAAGAGTTGAAGCAAATTCTATTTCAATTTATAAGAGAGCATTTCTTCATTCCTTCCCCCATTGTGTATCTCTTCCTGTTTTAAGGTAACTTTGAATCCAGAAACAAAGGCCATTTCCTCTCACCCAAGGGTACTGGTGACATCATGCCAAGACAACAATAAAATGTGCTACAATCAATAAGTGGTAAGAAACCAAAACAGGTCAAAAGAAAGAGTGAGGGTAATGAAGCTGGGATTTTGACTGAAAGCAGAGATAATCGTAGTGGTTGTGAGACACTCAGGATAAGCTTTCTCTTATAAACCACATATTTACTTATAAATTTGGTGACACTTTCTGATGTTCCTGAGTGGAGATCTTTAAGTGCAAAATACATTGTTTTCCTTCAACTGTAACACAGCTGAGAGATGTAGTGGACACACCTGAGATATATTTAGAATAAAATCAACAGTATGTGGTAATGGGACTGGATGTCATGTTTGAGACATCATGAAGAGAAAGAGAAAACAAAGATGACTCCTGGGTTTCTGACTTACGGCCCTGGGCATTCCATTTGCTGAGATAAAGAACACAGACACCTTGGTCAATAGGAAGCTCAGCTTCAGACATGTCTGCACTGGAAGTACAGGTGGCAAAGTGACAGCTGGCTCTATGGGTTCAGGTTTCAGAAGATAGGTTTTAACAGGAGATTGAAATCTGGGAGTTGTCATTTATGTACACAGTAGGTAAAGCCATGGGACTATGCTTTAAGTGGAGAGTGCAGCTAGAAAAGACAAAAGAATCGCAGGGCGGAGCTCTTAGGAAAGCCAACAATTGAAAGTCCATTTACAAGTCAGGTAGGGGCTGCCAATCCATCAGAGACCAGAGGAAGCTGCTTAAAGAGGTGGAGGAGAGGAGTCTACAGAAGTGTTTCCAGAAGGGGATCAAATGCTGTGGTTTTAATGCAGGGAGGAGATCTCTTTGGAGAATGAGGGAAGTCAGACTGGGGTAGAAAGGAGAGACAGGAATGTGAACAAAGAGAACGGAAGTGATAATCTCACCATGCTGCCCTCGAAGAGCCGGAGAGACAGGAAAGCTTGAGGGTGTGGAGCTTCAGGCTGGATCACACTTGAGCACACTTATAACTGATGCAGGTCAAAAGAAAGGTGAGGGGAGGAGAGAAAAGCAAAGGGAAGAGATCAAGAATGAATGACTATGAATGAGAAGAAAAGAGTAAGACACAGCAGGCCCTTGAAGAGCAGCAGGGGTTCAGAGCACAGTGAAGGCCTGAGTGAGGGGACACTTCCTCTGGCACAGCAGGAAGGTGATGAGGGCTGGACACAACTGCAGGCAGGTTTGTAGGTTTGGTCTGGGATAT